CGGAGGCTTGGACGGTCCTGTGCTACTTCTAAGACACTTTTCTGTGAGGTTAAGGGGAATGGTGAACAGAGATGCTGGGAAGCATGTGGGCAGACCCTCCCGGAGTTAATAAAATTTAAAATGTTTGCAGCTTTTTAGGAGCCACACTAGTGAATTTTCTTCTGTGATGAAGGCTCTATGAGTGATTCTGAAAGACAGATCACAAATATCCCTCTTTTTTCCTTGCCTCCTGAAGTCTAAGGTGTTTTTTCCACAGTTGCTAAGATTCTTGTATTCCTTTTGCTGCCATAAAGTCGGTGTATCTCATTCCTGTAGCTAACTTTACCTTTTTCTCGGCCGTTCCTGACTCATATGCAGACCTTTTCCTGGAATTATCAGGTGCAGGAGAGACAAGGGCATTTTTATGAAACTTAGAGAGACCCTTTTATGTTTCCTATGTTGGTCTACATGGGTCACCACAGGGGAGCTTGCTGAGCAGTGTGTTTAGCCAAATAGTCATTAACTTTCCCCATTTTCTTTGGAGAAATGTCTGAGTCCGTTGCCTCACCCCTTTTTCTGTAGTGCTGAGGATCCAACCCTAGGGTCTTGTGCATTTAAGCTCCTGCTTGAACATCAAGGTATATCCTCGGCTCTCCTCAATGCTTTTAAGTTTTATTAAGTGTTTTCTTTTCTTCTCTCTCCCTCCCTCCCTCCCTGTGTCTCTCTCTCTTTCCCCATCTCCTCCCCTCCCCACCCCTTCTCTCTGTTGTTTTTTGAGGCTCTTCTGACACTTAGCTGTATAAGAGGCTTGTGTGTGGTATGGAATATGGAAGGCCCTCAGATACTTTGACTAAAAACCTATAGTTGGGTGACTTTTGTGATTAAAAAGCACACCATTGTCAGATTGCAAATGGTGTGGAAAGTAAAAAACACCGGAGTCAAGTACCATAGTAGCATGGCTAGAGTTAGCTGATGGGACTTGAGTAAAAATGCTGGCCCCTTTTAGTGTCACCGACAGTAAAGCAGCACTGATAACCAAAGGTCAAAGGTCTGATGTTACCAGTCTGCCAGTCGAGTGCAAAATGACTGGAAAGTCCGGGCTGAGGTGGTTCCCTCAGTGTCAGAACTGCTCTTTGTATCTGCTGTGTGGTCTGAGGGTGGACAGGCAGTGGTGGTGGCAGTTTGCGGAGTACAGGCTGAGTCAGTAGCTTGGCACCAGTTGATCTTATCAGACAATAACCCTTTACTCTGAGCATCTATCTATATTAGGGACCCAGACGGCTCAGTCTATAACGAAATTAATCTCCACAGTTTGTGAGCAGTCTTGACTCGGTCATTCTGCAGTTTTCCAAGTAGAGATCTAAACAGGTGGGCCATTGGAAACAGCCCAAGGGTCAGTAAAAGTAAAGCAGTGTTTTCAAGGAGAATATTGTCCAGACTTATGAGAAAGAGCACCTTTGAGTTCTGCCCGTAGACAGAGCTGTCACACTGGTCTTCAGGTCCGCACAGCGGTACCAAGGTTGAGCAGCACAGTAGCCCACTGGACACGAAGGTTCACCAGGGTGAACCATGAGTGAGCCAGGCCCAGGCTTGTGGGAACCTCTGAGTCGAGGGCCTTACTGAGCGAGCACTTTGGGTTAGGTCACAGGGTCAGACTTCCCAAAGGGATAGTAGCAACTTTTTCACAGAGCTGAAAAGCCTTGTGGGTCAGGCGACACCCCTCCATCTTTCCTCTCTGTCCTGGATCCCACAGCCCCCACCCCATGTGGGGCTGTCAAGAGTAGCAGGCACATATCCCTGGGTATAACTCTCGGTGGGTGGCGGATCGGCATGGGTAGGAGTGAATGGACCTAGAGCTTTTGCATTCACCTGTATCCCCAGCCCTTCCTTAGTTTTGTTTTTAAATTGTGAGACAGTTTTTCCAAATCCTTCAATTGCCCAGGCTGGGTTTGAGCTTGCCTTCACGTCTTGGCCTCCCGAAGTATGATTGTCGGCCTGCACCACCTCACTTAGCAGCTTTTTACTTTTTATTATGAGACTGGGCCTCTCCAGCTTCCCCAGGCTGGCCTTGAACTTAACATTCCCTTGCCTTGACCCTCCCAAATGCTGAGATTGCAGGTGTGCGCCACCTTACCTGGTTTATGTCCCTAAAATTGATCAGTTTCAACATGAGGGCCCTGGGAGTTAGAGCTGCTGACCACAAGAATTTTCTAGATTCTTTGAGCTAGTTTTTCATTATTGAGTGGCTCAGTTTCATCAGCATGTTAATCTAAATCCATAACCATAAGATCCATAAGTTGGTCTATGCACAGGGGATCTTGTGTTGGGGAAATGCCTCCAAGAGGGCCACTGCTTTCTCATAGCAGATGGAGCCCTCCCAAATAGTGCTGAGTCCTTTACTGTCGTGCGTGAGGATTAAATACTGACAAGATAGGCTCCAGAAGGTGCCGAGAGCACTAAGAAACAGGCTCCATCTTCCGAGCAGACTAGCTGAAGATCTGCCTGGATCTGTCCCCAGTAGCTGCGGTTTCTCTCCTTGTCGTACTCCGTGTGTATGCACATCTCTGTAACTGCTGTCTGAAGAGGGACAGAGCCGGGTGCACTTCCTTCTCTCCAGCAGGTGAACCGGTTCTAGTTGTTCGTGAGCAGAGCTCCTGAGGCTTCAGTTTGGTGAGGAAGTTCCTCCATCTAGGGAAGAGTTGGCAGTGACCAGGGCGTCATTTAGGCTGTTGTCTTTGAATCTGCCTACTTCCTGATACCTAGCCTGAAATTGTTTCTTCCATTCAGCCTCATTACAGCCAATAAAAGTGGAGGACCATTCACTAACACTTCCCATGCACTTTTCTCTATTCCTGTTAGCTGACGTTTTTCTTCCATTGCTGGAAAGCTTTGTCAGCATTCCATCTTCATTGCCAAAACAGTCAAAATTGTAAAGGGACTGAGAGTTTACCCAAATGAACTAAAAGGCTAATTTGCTGTAATTTCATGGATTCTGCAGGAAGACATGAGAGTCAGAGACAAAGGATGTCATTAGTCATGGCAACTGCAGTAGCCAGAGTGCCAGCATTTGTGCAGGTAAATGAGTGCTCCTTTCCATAGGACATTACAAAGAATGCCTCAAGATGGTGCACACAAAGTTGGGCTCCCAGTTTAGGGGAGGATGGGATCTTTTATAATGAGCAGTGAATCTTTCTGACCTTTGTCCCAGAGGCTTACATTATCTTTATTATACTGGATAGTAAATAAACCTTTTGCTTTCCAAGGAGACACTGTTTCTAAAGTTGTGCATTGTGTAAACTTCCAGAACAAAAGTTAGTGCATCTGCCTTACAAGATGTCAGAAGGATAGACTTGAGTCACTGTAGGAAAATGGCTGCTCCTTGAGACCATAATGTTTAGTGCAGTAAATCAGACATGTAAGCTTAAATGTCACATTCTTTTATATAAGAAACCCAGAATAAAAATAAAGAGCAAAATAAAAGATAGGTAATAGGAAGTGGGGAGACGGATCTTCCTCAGAGGGGAAGGGCATCCAGAGATGGAGGGAGGGAGGGAGACAAGGAAGTGGGTTGTGCTGTGTACATACATGTACTGACTCCACACGAGGAGTGTAAACATTGTGTGCTGCAAACATATTCCTCCCCCGAAGGGGTGTCAAGGGATGGGTAAAAGGGGAGACAGGGAAGGAAGGAAAAGAGATGAAAAGGAATGAAGATGTGTTATGTACATGTACTAACTTCCCACAGGGAATGTCAGCATCATGTACTACATGCGTATACGACTAAACATTAAACAAAAGATGTACAGAAGGGCTAGTTATCCATGGAGAGGGGCTTCCTTCCACCTTGTTTTGGCATTTGGATAGTATTTTTGATTACAACTTCTTTCCTCATTAATTAAAAACTTCTGTTGATATAAGAGGGTTTTGGTGGGGAGGAGTGGTGCTAGGCATTGAACCAGGGCCCTGTTGCATGCTGAGCATGTGCTGCACCCCTGTGCTATTCCCGTCGCCCAAATAGAACCTTAGTAGCTTTGTTTCACATGTAGCATTAAAGCTGTGCTCCCCGCACAGCACTTTCTTTTCTTTTTCCTGCTTCAGTGCAGTTCAGAATTCTGGCCTTTTCTCATCTAATTTGCCATAACTGCCTGCTAACTGGTTTCATTTCTTGTAATCTTGATCTTTCACTCCTCGACACTCTGTCAGAGGGATCTTTTAAACACGCAAATATGATTGTATCACACACATTTGTCATTGGTTCCCCATTATTATTAGGACAGTTTCAGTGTTTGAGCAGTTGTGTGATTATTTCCTTTTTTAATCCGCCATATCCTTTTTTCCTGTTATTTGCACTTTTAAATTTTTTATTTTTTAAATTGAGTTCATTGATACATTTTAGATGTATGTAATGATCACATTCATCATAGGGAATTTGTACTTGTACTCGATATATCTTGATTCTTGTTTTGTCTGTTACACATGTATCTTTTAAACCTCTGTCCTCCGAAAGCCTTTAAGTGAACCTGCTCTGGACACCTTCAGGGTAATTTCAAATATCTGTGAGTGTGTCATTATAGCACTTCCTTCATTGTGTTACAATTACTGATTTCTTTCAGGACTATATCCCCACTAAATAAAATGCATTCTACCCAGAGCAGGACTCCTCTTTCTTTCCACATACTCTAGAGTTAGAAGCATACTGCTTACCCAACAATTGCTTTAGAATAAAATCTACTAAATCAGCTGGTGTTTTTAATAACCCTTAAGTTTTTGCTGCTTTGAAGAAATTAATTTGCTTAAGTTTGAAGGGAAAGATGCATATTCACTGGAAGGTAGTACAGTCCCATGGTCTAGCCCATTGATGCGAACCTTTTAATGATATAAACAGCCCGCAGCAGCATGTGTGCCATAGGTTCACCACCACTGTCTGGCCTGTAATATATATGGTTTAGTATATATGGCCATCATACATATTATTGACTATGCCAAATAATATTTTCTTGCTTTCCTCATTTAAAATACAGACTGTGGATATTCATAAAGAGAAAGTGGCTCGAAGAGAAATTGGTATTTTGACAACAAATAAGAATACATCAAGAACTCACAAAATAATAGCACCTGCAAATATGGAGCGCCCTGTGAGGTATATTCGGAAACCTATTGACTACACAGTTCTGGATGACGTGGGTCACGGTGTCAAGGTAAGCATTTGTATTACATTAACTTTAACTAATTTGCATACTCAGGCAGGAAATATTTTGGATAGGAAATAGGATGATACAGATAATTGGCTTCACTGGTTCAGCTAGTAACTAGCATAATAAATTTCATACAATATTTACTTAGTAATACGTATTTTACTAGGCTTGGTGCAGAATTTTACTTTCAGTCACTTATATTCAAGAAGATACTAAAATTTTAAACTGGTCATTAGATATGCCCTTTGAAGGCCAGGGATGTAGCTCAGTGGTTCCACCGCCTGCCTTGCAAGCACAAGGTCCTGAGTTCGATCCCCGGTACCAAAAAAAAAAGATGCCATTTGAATTCTAGACTGTTATTATAAATTTGTGCTGTGAATGCCATGCTATTTGCTTTCACTACTGAATTATACTTTTAAAAATTACATGCTTTCTAAAATTGGTTTAGAAAATAAATTATACTCTTTTCTTTTTATTCCTAGTATGTATACTAGATGTCTCTGTGTATGTGGATGTAATTCCAGCAACTTGTAAAATATAAAAGTTATGTGAAATTTTTTCCGTGTACTCTCCTACTCCTCTAATGAAAACAAAAAAGCTACCCCAGGCTTTAGACGACAGAGTATTTGTTGCCTGTGACTAAGCCTGGCACAATAGCTGATCTTGAAGTACACCTGTAGTCTGTCAGTTCTTTGATATTCATGTGTCGTTTTGGAAGCATCCAGAATGACCTGAGTTCTTAAGCCATCTTTGCTCAAGGTAAACCATTTCTTTGAAATAGTATTTCTTTCCTAGAAAATTGAAGAGCCAGCGAAGTCTGAAGCTTTCCTAGCTGGTTGATCAAATGAGTGCTGTTTCTAAATTTTCTGGGGTTCCTGGTTAGAGAGGAGGGTGGCCAACAACACTGACCTTTTTTCTACTCTTCCCTGTACTTTTTTTTTTTGGTACCAGGGATCGAACTTGGGTCCTTTTGCTTGCAAGGCAGGTGGTGGAACCACTGAGCCCTCTTCCCTGTACTTTTAGAATCTCCCCTTCACTTTGGTACTTGGGCGTTACATGTGAAAAGTGAGTGGAGAGGCTACTTCTTGTTTCTTGTATTTTTCTCCAGGATTGTGACTAGGACTGTATAAAAGCTTAAATTCAATTTTAATTTATTTTAGGCTGGGTTGATCTATAGGGTTTGAATTTTGAGAAAGAAAAACTTCTTTTGCATTATTAACCATTTGGGGATTAAAAATACACACACACGTATTCCTTAATACTGTGTCTTGGTTTTTCTTCTTATTGAAACGATATATATGTAAGGCCTGCCATTATCTTAGGAATGAATATTCTACATTATCTCATTCCTCCACTAAGCATTGTGATTAATAGTTTTAAATAGAGTAATTAATAGGCTATTTCATGATTATAAATTTTAGAAGGAATTTTTTGGGTGCTTACAGTGTAAGCAGCATAATGTATGTCAGCATATGAGTATGAATCTTGGTCATTTGCTTTGTAGTCATAACACACATACATAAGACATGGACTTTTCTTTGGTACCGGGGATCAAACTCAGGTCCTTGCGCTTGCGCAGTAGGCGGTGAAACCACTGAACTAAATCCCTGGCCCTGACATGGACTTTTTAATTTTGTTTTTATAGTAAGATATAAATAACAGAAAATTTACCATTAACTATTTTAAGTGTACCATTCTGTGACATGAAGTACATTCGCGTTGTTGTACCATTTTAAAATATGTTTTTGGGTAATAGTAGGAGAGTGGGCAGTCTGTGAGAACAGTGTAACTTAGGACCTGAAATGTGGCATATTTGTGCATATTTTGTTTCTGTTATATATAAAAGTGGCATACACGCAAACAGAGTTATTTCCCCCAATAGTTGTTTTGCTGTTTTATTTTCCTAGTTTTATGACTTTGTATAATTGTCTTAAATTTTTCTATAGGATTGTTGAGGTGTGTGAAATTAAGAAATTCAGGTAGTAGTTAACAAATTCCAGGACCAAAATTAGGAGGAGAAGTTTTAGTATTTTAATTTTAGGAAGGCACTTTTCACTCTAGAATTATTTTCTTATCCTTTGCCACTTTGCTCTTTAGAAACCTGCTTTCTCACCTGATTTGTTAGGGAAATGTACCTGTCATATTCACAAATATTATTTCCCTGTATTACTGTTTGACTTTTAACTTTGATGTTTTGGTATTTTTTAAGATTATATACCAAATTTTAAATATTATATCTAAATGATAGTCTTAACAGCTTCCAGGTATTATACTTAAAGTTTCTATACTTCCAAGATTAATATTCTATCATATTTCATTTTGATGTATATTTTGGCATTTTAGTATTTATATTTGATATACTTGGGCTTTATTTAAACAGTATTTGCTTTGTTAATACATTTTATGCCATGAAATAAATGATACACATAAATTTACTAGGAATTTAAAATAAAAGTATCCTGCCAGGCACAGTGGCAAATACCTGTAACCCCAGATACTCTGGAGGCTGAAGCAGGAAAATTGCAAGTTAGAGACCAGTCTGGAAAATTTAGAGATTTAGCAAGACTCAAGACTGTTTCAAAATTTAAAAAACTTAAAAAGGGCTGTGTAGATCAGTCCAAAAGCACCGGATTTGTTTAGTAACACAAGTAGCACAAAACAAAAGAATATAAGACCTGGGATAAATTTGGCTTCAATTTTAGGAACCGTGTAAGATAGGATGAGGGAGCCACTGCAGAGAGGTCACTGGAACGTGTGGCTGCGTGAGGAGAGTGAAAGGAAGATGAGCTTTCTGTGTGAGCTCAGAGTTTCAGAGTAAGTTGGAGAAGTGAAAGTTTCAGTGCTTAACCTAACGAGGGAGTTTAAATTTATTTTGGACAAGGGCCAGGGATTTAGCTCAGTGGTTTCGCCGCCTGCTGCGCAAGCGGCAGGACCCGAGTTCGATCCCCAGTATCAAAAAAATTTATTTTTGATAAACATAATAATTAACAGACTCATAGCCTGGTTCATAAAGACAAGTCCTGGACTTTCCATATATATTAGTTTTTGTATGGTTATTTTTAAGTTCCACAGAGATCATGTGGAGTAGCTGTTACAATTTTGTTAGTGGTGTTAAAATATAAACTTAGGTGAAGCAATAATTTTAGAGTTTATTTGAGCAGACAGTGATTCATGAATTGAGTAGCTCCATATCACAGAAGGCAGGAGAGAAAGTCCAAGGAAGCAAGACAGAGTAATGTGGTCAGCAGCTGGCCCTTTCTGATTGGCAGCCTCTAGAGCTTGGTGGGTAGTTTCTGGCTAACTTACTCCGGGTTGGGTTTTAGTAGGCTTAGAGGAACCCAGCTATCTCAGCCTAATTGCCTCTCAATTAATTTTTTTAACGGTGCAGACACTAAGGCTATATGATATGTACATAAAGATGTTATTTATTTAAGACGTTTAAATTAAGCTGGTGAGTGTGCCAGTCAGTCATTTCAAAGAAAGAATTGGCCTTGCATATATTTCACATCTATGGTATGTAAAGGTCTTTTGTACTTAGGGATCAAAAATAGAGAAGAATCAAAGAGAATTATTGTTTTTAATCTAAGATTCCAAGCAAATGGTAAAATTACTCATCCAGAAATGTAAATGTTAAAGAAATGAAGTGAGATCTTAAGGAAATGGAAAATAAGATTAATTTCCATATGTTTTTAATTTCTTTTTCTTTTTCTTATATAGTTCAGATTGGCTGAACTCCAACTGTGTACCCCAGGCTGGCCTTGAACTTGTAGTGACCCTCCTGCCTCAGCCTCTGGAGTACTCAGATTATAGGCCTGCAACACCACGCCCAGCCTAAGTGAACATTTAGCCCACACTGTTGTGAGTTGCGCACAGCCACAGTAGTTGGAGCTGTTAGGTATAGAGAGTGTTTCGTACAACACTGGCCCACCACAACATGTCTGCACGCACGCGCACACACACACACACACACACACACACACTCAGTATAGGAGCTGAGCTCCACAGAAGTCTAAAGGTTACATAATTTCATAGTGGCAGAGTTCTTTAGATTTCACTCCCAACCTATTTCTCATTTTATTCCTTCATTTGAGACCAGTTTATACACAAATACTAATTTTGGGGGTGGAGGGTTACTTATTTACTTGACACAAATGAGGGAAGATGTGTGAGGATGTTTAGGGTTTTTTAGGTTATTTTAGCATATGTTTAATTCATAAGCAATATAAGGCAGACATCAGTATATTCACTATGAAACATAATAAGATACATAATATCCCATTGTCAGGGATCTTAACGTCAGTCAAATTTAGTTTCCTAAATCCAAGTGTGAAATGAAATGGTCAGTTAAGTTTTCAGATAAAAATAAACATATTTTAGCAAACATTAAAGAATATCGTATTTGGTGCAATTTCCATAAGTAAGAATATCCAAGAGAAAGCAGATCCCTCTATCAGATGATTTCCTTTAACGTTGCCTTTATGGTCACCTGAAAAATGGTATGTAGTGAGAATGGCAGATGTTATGCAGAAAACTCAAAACCAAAAGATTAAGGCTCTAGAAACTAAATTGCATCCCTTTTTTTTTGGTACCGGAGATCGAACTTGGGACCTTGCGCTTGTGAGGCAAACACTGGAACCACTGAGCTAAAGCCCCAGCTCTAGAAACTAAAGATTTCTTTCTTCCTTCCTCATTTCTCTTTCTTTCCTTCATTCTCTCCTTTCCTTTCTTTCTGTCCAACATGGTCTCCCTAAGTTGTCCAGGCTGGACTCGTGTTTGGCAGTCTTCCTGCCTCAGCCTCATAGAGTGCTAGAATTATAGGCATGTGCCACTACGCCCATCTAAAGATTTTTTTCTCAGTGGCATGGAAGTATGCAGTGATGTTTTAGGTTAGGACTGTGTGCATTTTTGCATGTCAGTAGGGTAGTCATCTTTCATAGAAGCTAGCCTTTTAGATCAAAGAACTTTTCTCTTTTGTCATTGCTTTTGTTTTGTTTTGTTTTGTTTTTGTGACAGGGTCTCGCTACGTTCAGCGAGGCCCTGGAACTCACAATGTAGTTAAGCCAGGCTAGCCTTGAATTCAGAGTACTCCTGCCTCAGCCTCCTGAGTGCTAAGATTACAGGTGTGTACTGCCTCACTTATGTTCAAAGAATTTTTCTTTAGTTTTGAATTTTGGCTAAAGTGGTTTACAAGATAACTTGTCACTAAAGGAACCTATGACTTCTGTTAGTGTTGGCCTTCTCAGGATTTGGGTTCATAAACTAGAACTGAGAGTGTCATCTTGACCATGGTTAGTGTCTGGCCATCTATTACTATGGATGATGATTTCATTTTTAAAAACTTTTCTGAATTTGAAAGCACCCTGTTATTTTGAATTTTAATGTTTGAAGCTTACCGCTTTTTATATTACTATGCTACCATTCAAGTAATGAACAGTCATAGCTGGGAATTACCCAGTAAAATCTTAGGTTTTGTACACTGATGTTTTAAATAAATAGCTTTACATCTAATGTGTTATTGTGCTTAAATCGAGGTAGGGGTGCATGTGTGTGTGTTTGTGTTTGTGTTTGAATCATCTGTGACTCAGCTGGGTTAGAGTCAAAGGATAAAATACTGGCCTAAAAAAATATTGTACCTGCATGAGATTGACATAATTAGGTGGTGGCTTTCTTATGCATGTTTCTTTTAAAACTATGAGATACATGAATATTTCCTAATACTTGGGGATATATTTTTCTTTTCAAAATATTTGAAATGTGCCTGGATAAAAGCTTATTAACACGTATTGAATAACTGTGAATATAAACCTGTCCTATCAGATACAACTTACCTAGAATTAATTTCTATTTTCCCTCCCTTTTTTTTTTTTGCCAACATAAAGTGGCTAAAAGCCAAGGTAAGAGACATTACTTATTTGATCACAGTATTTCCTCTACATTGATAGAGGCTGCAGAGCCACTAAAATTTGAAAACTCTTCTTATGTCTGTCTGCTTTTCCCTGTAGGATTTGTATAGATTAAGTATACGCAAACTCAGTTCAAATCAGCAACATTTAGCTTGGCTGTGTTAATATATCAAAGATATATTGACATTTGCATTTATATAGGAACATTAATTTTGCTAACATTTATTGCTTTGCTCATTTGTTGATAGTTGCCTTGCTTTCTTTGACTTACAATTAGGAGGTTTCCCAGACTTCATATGTCACTTTGTTATTGAATTGTCAAGGTAAAGATGATTCTTTTCAAATGGGCATTTTACCAAATTAACAGTGAGATCTATAGCTTATGTACACATCTCAAAAATTTAAGAAACCTAATATTTGAGTGCAAAAATGTTTTATCTCAGTGAACGTGTTTACAATCAAATAATGTGTAAAATCCAGTAATCTTACTTGTATTTTGTCATAAATTGAAAAGAATGGTGCAGTGTAACAGGAAAAAACTGAGGTCAGGTGGTTCCTTCACTTTTTAAAATGTATCAAAGTCTTATTAAAACTGTCTGGGAATCCTTACTTCACATTCTGATATTAAAAAAATAATACATGGTGTTAAAACACCAAGAGAACAATTTGATATAAAAACACAAGCTTTCCTTTCCACATTTTAGCATGGAAATAACCAGCCTGCAAGAACTGGCACGTTGTCGAGAACAAATCCTCCTACTCAGAAACCGCCGAGCCCTCCCATGTCAGGCCGGGGAACACTGGGGTAAGAATTCAGCTGCATTTTGCAAAAGAGTTGCTATACTAAAAGAAATCTCTGTGGCTTAGGTAAACGTATGGATCCTGTCCAGAGACCCCTGCTGTGTGATACCTTTTATAGGTACATTTTGGTTTTTATTTCCCTGAGCAGAATCCAAGATGAATCTCCTGGCTTTATAATAGTACATATAGACATCTGTAATAGAAAAGTTGTTTTTTATTCTTGTAAATGAGCATCATTTATTTCTTTGTCCTCTTTTTTTTTTTGAGACAGGGTGTCACTATGTAGTTCATGCTGGCCTTGAACTCACTGTGTAGCCCAGGCTGGCCTTGAACTTACCTGCTTCAGCCTCCCGAGTGCTGGGATGACAGGTGTGCACCACCATACCTGACTCTTTTTTTTGGTCAAATACAAATCTAAAGTTAAGTAGGACAATAAAGAGGGTTCTTTCACGTGTATGTATGTGGTGCCTTTGGCTGAATTTAGTAATGTTTGTATTGCAGAACCTTGGATAAGTGATCTACTTTGTATAGTTCAGTTAGCATTCTGCAGTTCTTCTGTTTCTCCCATTAAGTATCACCTGAGATCAGGAATGCTTCTAACTGCATCCACTGGTAATCATAGGCTCCTCTTACTAGAACAGCTTTATGAGAAGGCCAGGTGGAGAAGTAGAAAAGGTATTGGTGGCTTCCTCCTTCCCAGTTCTTACAGTTTCAAATATGTGGAATACTTGCCAGGACATTTCTGAATGATTATTCAGTTTAACACAAAAACGATATCCTGTTAGATTTTTTGGCTTTGGGAAAGTTGATCTCAACAATCAACTTTTTTTTTTTTTTTCAACAATCAACTTTTAAAGAGGATTTTAGCTTTTATTTTTGTTCTTTAAACTCCTGCCTCTGAAAACATGTTACTACACAGAAAACTTTTTTTACTTTTTTACAAAAGTAAAAATTACTTGCTAAGAAATTAATGACATCACTTCTAGAATCAGAATGTACTTCGTTATGTCTCCATATCGATATAGAAATAAATTGCAAAGGAGATACTTAGCTTCCTGTGTAAAGGACAGTGGCTTGTGGGTGAATGAACTGGGAATAAAGTATATTTCAAAGTTTTATATTATTGAACATTAAAAAATTATAACTCATTTTTGGAAATAAGGTTAGAGTTTTTAAATTACCCTTTCCTGTGTTTTTCCTAAGCAAAGGTAGCACATTTAAGTTTTTGTGTTAAAAGTAACAAAAGTATATTTCAATTAAGAATTTTTAAAGAAAAATTATAAACTATATTAAAATAAAAATTTATATCTAGTTACAAAAGGCTAATCACAAATTTGGGGGGAAATACTACTGTTTTGTCTTTCTTACTCATTACCCTTTTCTCTGTCGCTGTTCTTCAGGCGGAATACTCCCTATAAAACCCTTGAGCCTGTTAAACCCCCAACTGTCCCAAATGATTACATGACCAGCCCTGCGAGGCTGGGGAGTCAGCACAGTCCGGGGAGGACAGCTTCTTTAAATCAGAGACCAAGGACACACAGGTAAGCCTTTAGATTGGACAGTGACTGATGCCAGACTCCTGTAAAAGGTGATATTGAACGTGAAACCGGAGAGTAGTAACACTGTACGTACCTATGAAGTCACCATATTTTGTTATTTACACTGTTAACAGGTTGTGTTAATATTTTCTCCTTTTGACAGAGATATGAATATATTTGGATTCATGCTAAAGAATATTGTTTAAATGGTCTTTCACAAAGGCACCAGGTAGGACTGCTAGATGTGGCTCAGTGGTTGGGAATCTGCTTAGCATACAGGAGTCTCTGGGTTCAGCATCTCCCCTTCAGCAGAGCCAAGACAAGTCATACAGCATGACTTAAACTTAGGGGGTCAAAGAAAAGATGTAGCTCACTTCTGAGGAAGAATTTCTTTAGAGAGTTAATATACTAGATTATGTTATGTATTATTATAAATGTACAAGGATTCAGCTGTTCGGTGCGTCTTTAAAAACTCAGGTGCAGAAAAGTGTCACACGTGACAGATTCAGATTGAACTCTCACTCGAATCAGAAAGTGGAGAATTACCAGCAGCCCAGGAGCCTGCCTCTTGCTCTTTCTATTTGTCGCTTCTGTTTTCTTCAGTGTAGAAGGGGGCACTCCACTGTTCAGATGCTTTTATAATGCCAGGCAAATTAATTATGTAATCAAATGTGCTTTTGTCTTCAGTTTTATTTCCCAATAACTTGGGCAAATGGCAAATTAGAGCTAACTTTACCAAAATTATTTTTGATGATTCAACTCAATAGGGCATATCAAACTGTTAGATTCTAGGTAATTGCTATTTATTGTTATTGCTATTGTTGTTAAATACATTATTATAGTGATATCTGCAGGCTATATTGGGTCAAGTTCAGGGTGGACCAAAATTACTCTTTTTGTATTCGTGGGTATTGAATTACCAACCAGTCAAAGTATAGTATTTCCTTAGGTTTTTTTTTTGGTACTGGGGATCGAACTCAGGACCTTGTGCTTCTGAGGCAGGTGCGGTGCCACTGAGCTAAATCCCCAGCCCCCCTAGTATTCCCTTCTTTTAGAAATAATCATATTAACAACCAGTTATTAAAAGTTACTTCATTAGATACCACGCATATAGCAAGAAGGCATAGTTGGTCTTTTCAAGAGCTCATTCTGTTAGGACAGGGGTCAGCAGACTTTTTCTAGAAATTGCCAGGTTGTCAGTATTTTAGGATTTGTAGGCCACATGGTCTGTTGCAATTACTCAGTTCTGTCAGTATAGCACAAAGCCAGCTATAGACAATATGTAAATGAATAAGCATGGCTGTATTCCAGTGAAACTTTATTTATGGCAGTGAAATTTGAATTTCATAAAATTTTAATGTGTTGCAAAATATTATCCCTCTTTTGATTTTTCCCAACTATTTAAATATGTAAAACATGTTCTTAGTTCACAGGCATGTATCAGGCAATGGGCCAGTGTTTTTTGTTTTTTTAGGGGGAGACTAATGTAATTCAGGCTGGCCTTGAACTGTAGTCCTCCTGCCTCAGCCTCCCAAGTGCTGGGACTACAGGGATGCCACCATACCCAGCTCTGAGGTTTTAAATGTTGATTTTGTATCTTGCTGCTAAGATTATTAGATGTAAAAGTCCTTTGGTGGAATCATGAGGATCTTCTAAGTATAGAATCATATTATCTGAAAATAGGGTTAGGTTGACAGTTTCCTTTTAAAAAAATTTGTATCCCTCTTATTTCTTTCTGTTGCCTCAAATATCTGGCTAAAATTTCAAGAACTATATTGAATAGGATTGGTAAGAGTGGGCATCCCTTCCTTGTTCTTAATTTTAGGGGAGATGCTTTCAGTTTTTCCTCATTCACTATTATGTTGGCTATGAATTTGTCATACATAGCTTTTACTATTTTGAGGCATGATCTTTTTTTATTTTTAGCTTTTTGTTATATAGAAATAAACTTTGTGTTTTATGTTTATTTGGCAAGGAGGTATGATCATTCTATACCTAGTTTCTTCAAGGGTTTTATCATGAAAGGATTGTTGAATTATGTCAGAGGCTTTTCTGAATCAGTTGAGATGAACATGTGATTTTTTTTCTCAATTCTATCTATAAGGCACAGCAAATCTTTGCCCTGTTGGATTTGTAGGCTTATTGAGCAAATGATGTTGAATTTAAAGTATGAGTTGGTGAAGTGACCTCTGCTTGTAGTCTCAGCTACTTGCGGAGCTGAGGCAAAAGAATTGCTTGAGGCCATCCTAGGTAACAACAATATAGTGAAACCTAGTCTCCAATTAAGTAATAGTGATACAGAGCCTATTTTGCAGTTTCCATTGGTGTCCATCAGTTACTAAAAACAGTTGGATTGTGCAAGATCTTAAACCATATAAAAACAACTAGATAGTGCAGAGTCTCATTGCTAGAAGGACTGTACATCCATAGAAAGTAGAATAGCAGCTATTCCAGAATCCATGCTGAAGCTTCATTACTGTTTTTATTTTTGTTGTGTTCATCTTTCCAGGAAATTTACCTATTACCTTCCTTTGAGATGATTGTAATTTTTTTATTAATTTCAGACTGGTATTGGTTACCTTTATTTACTTCCCTAGGATGTTGTATATTCTCTTTTGTAGTGTTCATCATGCCTTTTTTTTTTTTTGGTACGGGGGATCAAACTTGGGACCTTGCACTTGCAAGGCAGGCAGTGGAACCACTAAGCTAAATCCCCAGCTCATCATGCCATTTTTAAGTCTGTTTTCTCATGCTTAGCTAAGAGTTCCATGACAATGTTATTAATGTCTGCATTGTTCACTGCTCTTCATAGCAATTTCTAATTAAACACTTGTCAACTCACTATACTGTAAATTTTATTGCTCATACATTTCTTGGATTGTTCTGAGTACTGTGATACTATATTGGTTTCAGATGTTGAGAAGTAGAGTGAAACACAAGAGCCACTTCAGGTATGAGGGTAAAGGCTTGTAATGAGTAATTAAAAAATTTTTGTGTATGTGTGTGTGCATGCATGCGCAGACACAAACACACACCATAGTTAGTAGCCTTGGGTTTTTAAAAATTTTTAAAAATCCCTAACACTGCTTTTTTCACACATTTTCCTCTTACGTGCAGTGGAAGTAGTGGAGGAAGTGGAAGTCGAGAAAACAGTGGAAGCAGTAGTATTGGCATTCCCATTGCTGTACCTACACCTTCCCCACCCACTATTGGACCAGGTATATTATTTATTAATCTGTGGTTAATATGGGGTAGTATTTATGAGCTTTATTATAAAAGGTGACATAATTTAATCATATTGGATAAAATTATTAAATTTGTGATGGTTAAAGGTTAATAACAAATTTAACAATATTTTAAGATTCATTTTCACAATGTCTTTAGACTTTCCAGCTCTTTTCTCCTTGCATACAGTACTTGTTTAATAGCTTTGTTAAATAACTTTCTGGCCATTTTGCTTTAGAAATACTTGTCTTTGTCAGGAGTCAAGAATGACATTTACTATTTCAAGAGCAGATTGGTGTTGTGTGATAGTGCAATTGAAAGATTCATGTCTGTAAAGGCAAGTTATGTTTCAAAGAGTTTGGATATTGCCTTGCAGGTCAGCATGTCAGTAATAGAGTTTGCTTATTCTGTGACTTCACACTTACGAGATTCAGTCAGATCCAGTGAATGAAAAATGAGATTAAAATGGGAAAAGTTCTTTTACTTTGTGTAAAGTATACAAATTAAGGTATCTGTGAAGAGTATTAGCCCCTGATTTTTTTGTAAATGAAATGCAAGCTTTCTATAGTGTTAAGATGTATATAGTTAAAAATAAAGTATGATAATTAAAACTGTTGGGAAAAAATTCTTAGTTTCTCAAGCATATTGTTGTAGGAGAAAAAGCTTCTAATAAAAACAGACATCTTTTATAGTTAATGAAGTTATAAGCTCAATAGCATTTTTACATAGTGACATTCTTCCTCATTTGAACGTACTTTACTTGCGGGTGTCTCTTTTTCTTTTTTTTTCTTCTTTCGAACACATTGTATTTTTCTGCTGTTTCAGAATGCTTAGCTCTCCTTTCTTGCACTCTGACCTGAATTGTAAACTATTTTATTAGAAAACATTTCTGCCCCTCCTCCTCCTGGAGCTCCACCAGCCTCCCCGTGAGCACTGTGTTAGGTGAGGCTGGGTCCCCAGCCAGCCAGTGGCCTTACCGTGCACGGTCCCTAATGCACTTCTCCGTGGCAGACAGACTGCTGGCTTGTGTAGTTACTAGGTTGCAGATGATAACCCAGAGGCTCAAGTATTAATTTACACTAACTTTTTCTGGTGAAAGTCCTCTACTTACACAGTAAACAACTATAAAATGACCTTTTCTGTAATTTGAAATGTTGCTTTGTGTGGTTTATTACCAGCTAAACGTGTTTTTTGCTTGTTGTTTGTTTAGATTTTTAGCAGTCACCATTCACATTTCTAAAAAGCAGTGTAACCCCATCTCACCCGTGGCGAGAGTTGATTGGGAACTCCCTGGCATGGGCAGCATTGGAGCCTCGGGGTGATGGTGGGGGCTGGGGCAGGAGGAGAGAGAGGAAAGTCCTGTGTGGTGGGGCTCTGGTGCTGTCCTGCAGGTTACACTCTGAAAAACTCTGACACAGCCCAGTTTTTATGATAGCTAGGAATGTCAGGAAACATTTTTTTCAATGAAATTCATTTGCATTTTCCCCAAGTTGGGGAGGACAGGGCTGAGGACAGAAGTAGCTCCACATGGTTGGTTAGCATAAAAGCCATGCAGCCTAGAAGGAAATCGTAGCAGCAGTGTGGGTAGAGGTGGGAAAGGAGGTAGTGTGAGAGTGAGAGCCAAGTTTCAGTTCAGAGGACATAAAGCTGTCCAGCAACACCGTACCAGAGCATTGACACCTACCTGCAGAGAAAGAGGGCAAAGGGGGGATACGTAAGGTTGCAGACATTATTGATAGGAACTGGATGTGAAAATAGAATGCATTCAACCTAATCATTAGGAAAATTAAAATTAAAACTACAGTGAAATTCTGTTTTCTGTCCACTCGATAGGTAGAAATGTTGACATCTACTCATGCAGTGTTGGTGAGGATGGGTGGCCACTGGAAAGCACAGAGCTGCCGGGAGTCTTTTAGTTGATAAATTCACTTTGTAAAATAATTTGTTACCTAGTCAAGTTGAATGCATACCTATCCTAGGCGTAACAATTTCATTTCTAGATTTCACCTTAGAGCACCAGCTCCCACAGTATGGTTAAGGGACTCCTGGAGGCTGCCAAGATCTTTTCGTAGAGTTTGAGGTCAAAACTGTATTCATTATTTGTCTTTTAATTCTCATTCTGCTAGAATCGTACAGTGGAATTTTCCAGAGGCTGCAAGACCTTGCTTTGTTAGCTAATAGAACATGTACTTGTGTACATATGTGTCTCACAGATATATCAGTTTTAATTTCTCATGTAATTATCTGCAGCTGCAACACATACTAGCTAAAGCATTTCGAGGTTATTTTGGGGAGCGAGGGCTTTTTGTTCAATACAGGCCCTCATATGTAGCTCAGGCTGGCCTCAAACTCATAGCGACCCTCCTGCTTCATCCTGCAGAGTGCTGGGATAACAGGCGTGCGCCACCATACCCGGCTCTTGAGGTTGTTTAATTTCCAAGCGTGGACCTTAAAACTAGAAAGTTTGGAATACCACTGTTGTAGAGCACTGGCTTTCAGAGTGATAGCCCCATATTATCAGTATCCAGGAACTGCATAGGAATATAAGCTTTCAGATCCCATTTCATTCCAGACCTGCTCAGTTAAAAACTCAGAAGATGGGGCCTGGGAATCTGTATTATAAGAAATACTTACGGTAAAATTCTGATCAGGAACCATACGTAGGAATGTTTATAGTAGTAGCAACAGTAATGGCACAAATCTGGAGGCGCAATGCAAACGTCACACAACAGTAGAATAAATTGTTGTATATTCACATACAAACACAGCAGCAGAAATGAATGATGTACTTACCCCATAGTTGAATCTTAAAAAAGTATCAGAAGAAGAGCAATTCATTCATACTGGTACACACAGATTCATTCCATTGTAAAAGATTATAAATTTGTAAAAATTACGTGTTAAGTCTAAGTTTTTATTACAGTATATGTATGGTGTGGGAAAAACTGTATAGAAAAGAATGTTTTGAGGTTTTTTTTGGTACCAGGGATCAAACTCAGGTCCTTGCGCTTGTGTGGCAGGTGGTGAAACCACTGAGCTAAATCTCCAACCCCTAGAATGTTTAACACATACCTTGTGGTATTGGAAATCCAGGAGAGGGGCCACATAGGAAGCTTCAGTGATATCATTAATATTCTTGAGCTGGATTCTTGCCTTATTTAAAGAAATAATTTATATACACATACATATATGTATGAGAATACATATATATATATGATTATATGTCAATCATATACCCTTTAGCATTATGATTTATTTCATAGTAAAATATTAAAATAAATAAAATAGGCCATGTTTGGAACTGCTACACAATTGGTTTTCAGTTTTGAATCATCAAGAAAAATTACTTTGACATTACATACTTTCTATACAAGTCAGAAGTATAAAAGTTACTTTACAGATATTTCTATTAGGAATAGCTAGAGATTTACTTACTAGCTCTCTTGGAAAACATGTCTGTTCACAATTCTTATGCATGAAGACTTTTACATAGACTTAAATATGTTTCTGTTTAGAATATTAGTATGTATGTAGATGATTCAGATAATTGATGACTGGCTGTGGCTTAGGAGTTCCAAATGTTAGCTGCCTGCTTACTGTCCTAATACGCAACGGTGATACGGTTGCGGTATGTTGGATGAGCTCTAAGACACCTGAATGAAGATAAGCTAGAATGGTTCTGGAATGTGTCTGAGTGGGGCAAAGAGGAGGATGTTAATTCCATTAACTTTAGATGTGTTTAATTCTGTTAACCTTTTAAATAGGAAATGTTTAAAATGTTGATAAAGATGACATTATGCTTTGATCAGTTTAGGTATTATTTATATAAACATTAATCTTTTTAAAAAACCAGATTAGTTTGAGTATAATATAGGAAAACAAAAGCCTCCTAAATAAGGAGGAAGAATAGGTTGTCTGAGCACAGCTGCGTAGAAATGCTTTATTTTACAGAATCCAAAAATTTTTCCGAAACAGTTTTGTCAGTTACAAAAAAACAACTTAATGGAAAAACTTGCTAATCTTACACAATAAATGCAATGTAAATATTTTGTTATTCGAATGTATATTTCACTTTAAAATCATTTTACTGTCAAGTGTATTGATACTATTATCTACTGATGCAATAAAAATTAATATAATGCTATTAAATATGGAAAGTAGGCTTAACAGTTTATATTTTGTCACTTAACTTGGATTTAGCCAGACTTACACAGTATTGTCAATCAAAACTAAAGATTTCGGCAATGGAGAAGAAGTTTTAAAATCAGAGATGAATATATTTATGTGTAGAAAACTTAGGTTTTCCACCTCACACTATGGTGTTTGCAGAGACAGTTCACCTATAAACCTACGCCAGGTCACCCTTCATTACCGTAGAGTCAGTTCAGCACCTGCAGAGGTACGGGAGTTCACACTCAATTCCCTGCATAAAGGGCATTCTGTTTGTATGCAATCTACAGATACTACCAAGGTGTAATTTAAATCATCTCTAGGTTACTCATCAAACCTGATACAGTGTAAATGCTGTCAATAGTTGTTACACTGTGTCGCTCAGGGAATAAGGACAAGGAAAAAGTCTAAATGTTCAGTATGGATGCAGGTTTTTTTCTGAATATTTTATTAGGTTGGTTGGATCATATATGTGGAGCCCACGGCTACAGAGAGCCAACTGTAAAATGCACAGATACTATATGTAGCATTAGAAAACACCATTTGGGATTATGCTTAGTTGAAGGGTTTAAGAATGTTACATGTTTACTCTTTTAGCTTTCCACATAGTAGCTGTTTTTGTTTGCTTTTAACTCGAGGTAATCTGATTTTTATCTTTGTCTCTTTATTTTGCGGTGGGCTTTACAAAGTAATAAATATTTCTTACTGAGAGTCTGCATTCTGATCTGTCACCTGAGGTGATAATAATGCTTAAGTCTCTTTGTCGGTTGCCTTTGACTGATGCTTTCCAGCAGCCCCGGGCTCAGCTCCTGGTTCCCAGTATGGCACAATGACCAGGCAGATCTCTCGACACAACTCTACCACTTCCTCAACATCTTCTGGTGGATACAGACGGACTCCCTCTGTGACCGCTCAGTTTTCTGCTCAGCCTCATGTTAACGGAGGGCCGCTTTACTCTCAAAATCCAAGTAAGCTTGGGTTTCGCAGGCATGCAGCAACGGTGGAGCCTCCTTGTGAAGGACGTTATTTGAAACTGTTATTCTTGCCAGTGATAGGCAGCATTTGAAACCACGTTATTGCATGTTTATTTTCACTTTAGAATTTTAGTCCTTTAATCATAACATTTAAAAAAATCTTTTTGAGATAAGGTCTCATTCCTAAGTTCGATACCTGGTGCTGGAAGAAAAAAACCAAAACAGTTATTGCTTATCATTTGTCCAGAATTCAGAGTTACTGAATATACTTAGTATATTAAAATTTAAGTGATGCTTTAATATGCTGTTTTCATTACAACAATATAAACTAGAGAACAAAAAAAAAAATCACTGAAATAAGTGAATTTTTTTGAGGTACTGGGAATCGAACTCAGGTCCTTGCACTTTGGAGGCAGGCATGGTGCCACTGAGCTAAATCCCCGGCCCCATGTGAATTTATTTCTGTTGGCATGCTGTGATAGTTTGGTGCAATGGTAAAATTAAAGACACAAATAGTATGGAAATTTACCTTTAAAATAATAAACTGAAATTGCTGGCTATCACTTTTAATTCTGTTAGCTTACACTGAAAAGAGTTAAAAAACAATTAAAAACATTAGTGATGCTTGCTTAATTACTATCTTTGAATAATTCTAACAGTGGGAAGGATTTTCTTTTGATTTCTTTCTGTTCACCTAAAATTGCACATCTCAATACTAATTGCAATCAGTGTTTAAAGCTGATGAGAAAATAATTTTAGCATATAATACAGAGTTGGGTAGCTTAGGGTAGTCATTAAGTTCACCTTCCATATTAAGATGCTTAATGCAAAAGGAAAAATAGAAAACGAAACCTGAACCAAACTTCTTCTCCAGTATTTGTCATTGGCTTGAGGTTGTAGTTACCACATACAGATTAAAGCAGAATTTTCCATGTAGTTTTTGTGTGGCTTTGTAGAGCTGCATCCTGTTACTTCACTTAAGAAGCACTGAATACTCCATGTTTACAGCAGAGGTTGGTTTAAGTTCTTTTTTAAAAAAATTTACACTACGTGGCCTGAATATGAATTTTAAGCAGAGATAGGGGAGAGTTCTTTTATTCATTTTTAAATTTTTTAAAGATTCATTGTTTTATAGCAAAAACTTCTAAAAATTGAACACTATATTAGTGGAAGTGTCAAAATACAAAGATCCCAAATGTATACAACCTTTTTTCCAACTAAAATTTTCCTTCAAGCTACTAAGAAATTTTAAACTTTACCAATTAGAATTTTGCCTCACATTTCCCCTGGTCTTTGATTTTAAAGGTAGCTAGCATCTGATCTGAATATTCCACAAATTAATAATTCACCTCACTAGTTTTATGAACTTTTCATTTTTTTCATGTTGTATATTTTTAGATGTCATCTTTATGTTCATTATTTTTCTTTTCCCCACTTAGACCTTTAAGTTACTCTACAAGTTGGGTTATTTCACCTAATACATGTTCATGTTTTATGAATTATTTTCAAACCAGACACTTTTCATTAGTAAATGAACTACATTCTTTTAAATATTGGAAAGCAAACTTGGCCTCAAATTTTAAATATATTATGTTTTGTCTAGTTTCCCTTCAGTATGAGTTATTGTTTGCCTTACAGTTTTAGTAGTATGTAAATGTTTTAGTGTTTTGATGTGCATATTTTCCCTTTTGTCTAAATGTGATGCTAATGATTAGTATCTTCACAGCATACTCTTTTTTTTCTTTGCATACTAACCAGAATGGCTAGTCACCAAAGGTTGTTTCTTTAAAAAAATTTAGGCTTCTGGGAATTATTTTTAAAAAATCAAAACCTGAAACTTTTATTTATTTAACAGAGTAAAGAAGACCAGTTTCTTAGTGAATTGATTATTATTTTTAGCTGTAGAACAAATACAAATGCACATATGCTGCTTTAAGTTGTTACTTCTTGGAACCCTGAACCTCTTTCAAGTTTTTTATGCTTACCACCAAAACCCACCTACTGGATTAATTGAAACAATTTTCTATAAAATGATTCTTGCAAACCAGTAAATTGTTTTTCTCATCAGTAGTGTCACTCACTAACTGGTGACTACTGGTAAATGGAATATTGCCATCTGGTCTTAATTTTTCTGAGTCATCTTTGGCAATTACTATCTTATTAAAATGGGAAAAAGTAGTAAATATATGATCCTTATTTCTAGTTTATATTACAGTTTTTAAAACATTGGCAGCCCAGATGGGGATTTGCTATCAGTTTCCTATAAATTCTGTCCTTTCCTGGAAGAAAAATTAATGCAAATAACTGCACATTTTAATTTATTCATCAGGTTTCGTTTTTGCAAAACGGTGGTAAAAAGGTCATCCTTAAGATACCTGATTCCATGAAACTCTAAATAATTAACACGGTATATGGAGCATTCTTCTTTTGGAACCAGGGATCGAACTCACAGAGCATTCTTGTCCATTAGCAATAGCTTTAAAAATAAATTTGCCAACTTACTAATAATCATGTTCTACAAATGAAGCTTCTCCTGGAAAGCTGTGTGTAAATTCAAATACATAATAAGAACTATTTTAAGAGGAAACCTGATTAATATAAACCTGATTAATGTATTTATTCATTTGTGCAACCAGCACATATTGTATTTGTTTTATTTATTTTGTTTCTACTTTACAACAAAAGCTAGATAAATCTGTTACTTTATAGAGTTACATCAAAAATACAACATTCTGGAAACCTCTGTAGGTATTTCATTGTTATGTATTTTAGAAGACTTTTTAGAGCTTGAAAATTGCATTGCACTAAAGTGAATATAATGGTAATTTAAAAATTTCCCCAAATAATATGACATTAGGGTTAAGTTAAGGGTATTTGTTCTTTTTATACATTTGGCTAGCTGGCTAAGCACACTTGACTTTAGGTTTGATTGGGGAACTTGAACTTGAAGAAAGTTCTTCAGGTTTTTGTTTTGTTTTTTGTTTTGTTTTGTTTCATTTGCAAACTGTTCTTTGCATACTTATGTTTGTGGTCCTTGTAACTGACTTCTGCTTTTGTTTGTTTCCTTTTCTTTCCTTTATCTGTTTCACTTCCCCCATACTATGTTGTTGCCACCAGTTTCTATTGCTCCACCCCCTCCCCCTATGCCTCAGTTGACTCCACAGATACCTCTCACAGGCTTCGTGGCCAGGGTGCAGGAAAACAGTAAGTTTGGAAAAACTGAGCTATGGAAGAATAGAGGCTGTCTCCTTATAGCATGCATGGCTGATGAGTCATCATTTTCTTACTTCTATTGAGAAGCTAATCTTATCTTGAAAATAAGTGCAGATACGTTACTGAAACTGAAGAGCACGGTCTTCAGTTTTTTCTCTTGTGTGCATGATTACTGACCCATATAAATTTCAAAACTGCAACTTTCTTAAGTATGTACATGATCTGAAACTTAAGATCTGATCTTTGCATAATACAAATTGTATGGAAATTTTTCCTTCTAGTAGTTATAGAGAATTAGAAAACATTTTCTATTCTAACAAATATATCAAGATAGAATCACATTGTGAGGTAAAATTTATTAGAAAACTGGTGTAAATTTTCCCCCAGTAATTTTTACCCCCCTGGAATTATTTTTCAAAATTTAGGGAAAACTTATGGCCTCAGATCTTTATTCATAAATGATTTTGAATGCAGTTAAGAATAACTCTGTAATAAGTAACTGACATTGATGCTGTTTCATAGTGAGTGATAAGGAATGTAGGCCTGACTTCGTATTTTGGCTACATGCAGGCCCTTAACACTTACTTCTGAATATGTAAATTTGTCAGCTTTCTTAGGTCTTCTGTGATTGAAGATCAGATTTAATGATTTCTGTCAAATTGTTTAAGGCTTTAATCAGGTTAGACTAGTTTATATTACTGCCTAATTAATTTTGAGGTTCCAGGAGATACATAATCCTAACTTTATGATCACAGCGAGTGTTGTATAGTGAAAAGAAAAATACTGAATTGTATCATGCCAAAAAACACTGCTGAAATGAAGATGGTAAAGTGGTCTAGTTCTCATTTACTTCATTTGGGACCTGTCCGTGAAAAGTTTCAGAATGGTTTGAGCACATGGATCACATGTATGACCAGCCTGTCTTTTAGGAGAACATGGTGTGTTCTTCTCCCCATTCTTTCCCTTCTGTCAGTCAAATATTTGTTTATTCAGTGTTATGTGCTAGGCTCTGGGAAGAACACAAATAGTTTAAGACAAAGTCCTTGCCTTCAAGAAGTGGGTTCTGTGGGTTTATTATAAAACATTGTTGTTTCAAAATGTTGAAATTTCTGAATGTAAACCTTCCTTACTAAGTATTAACTGCTACTTGAAAACTCTGCTCAAACATTTAAAAATAAGTGATTCTTACATTTTAAAAATAAGGAATTAGGGTAAATCATTGGTCCTTAATGCTGCAACAATTTAAAAACTAAGCCACAAGCCACTTCAGCTTATTGAACTGCTGCACTGTTAATTATTAGGAAAAAATTTAAAATAGCATAATTGACATCAGTAGTATGGGACCAGGGGTCATTGACTATTTGGCATCTTTTTATGACTAGAAATCCATTGTTAATGTACATTGTTCCAAGCATCCATGGTTCTTGCTAAAAGGCCCTGGGTGCAACTGTTTCAGTTCTTTGTACCAAACATAGGAATTTGAGTCAGTTATTCTCTTTACACCATAGATTCTCCAAGTTTATTTGGCATGTATTTTCTTTGAAATCAAGTTAAGAAAGTTGAGAATAATCTTTATCAGCACTTTAAGTGGTTTTTGAAGAACAAATTTTCTGTCTTCAAGATAGCCACTTCCTTTGGGTCTCAAAGTGGATGATAATAAATGCATGTAGTGTTTAACTTACTAATTTATTAATAAGTGTTTTGGTTTAAAATGAGCCCCCAAGTCAGCAATGTGTTAACATTTCTTTATAATTAATGTCAGAAAACCTTTGTAAATTAAATATGCATAGTGCTATATGTGGCACTCAGAAAAATAAGATTGACTAAACCCCTGCCATAATATAAAAATAAGCTAATGTTGATTTATAATATTTGGATATAAGAACATTTGTGTGAAAACATTGAGCTAAAGTTGTATATAAACGAAGAGCAGTGGCAAATATATGTGGTTTACCTATTAAGCCAAGTTAAGGATATGAGTTGTGGCTGTTTGACATGCGGGTGGATTCATACCCAGTTTTGTTTCTTTGTTATTAAAAAGATTGATAGAGGAGGTATGGGCAGAGATAAAATGGGTACATGCCTGTTGTAGAAAGACAAATTGTACACCTTTTGTGCAGCTATTAGAGTGAATGTCACCACACACAATCTCTTTTAATCACCCTTTCATCCCCCGGAGGGGTTATAGAAGTAGGGCTTTTATTTGCAAATGTTTTATATCTGAACCCCTTGGTTAGAATTTTAGCACAGTATTCCAAGTCAGGTGAAATAAAATTTTAAAACTTGTATCATTTTGTATAAATTTTTTTCATTTATCTTTTGAACTTTTAAAGAAATTTGTAGATCAGAAATGTAAGCATTAGTTGTATTTTGAATTCCTTAATATTGGGCACTTATTACTTGGTATCATAATAGTTCAGTCAGAACAATTTGTTTTCCCATTTCATTGTGAACACTTTTGCTTACTTAGAAGCACAAACACGTATTTACCATGGCCATTCAGAATTTGAAGTATGACTCATTTTATTGTTTTGTTTAATTTAAGTTCTTTTTTGTTTTTTATTATTACATTTTCCCTCAACACTTTATGTTTAAATCTTAATTGTGGTTGTATCCTTAGAAAAGTGGATCCTTATTTAGGATCTGATCTTTCCTTATCTCATGCTTCTGTTTTTATTAGCCTTAGCTTCTTTTCCATATTAAAAATTAATCATGAATATAAACAATTAAAAAACATTCAGTGAGATTTCCCATTAGCTGGAAATTTTAATTTTTCTTGTTAAAATTTAAATAATGGGAAATCTACATACAGAAGCAGACCTGACACTACCAACTTGATATTTTTCTCTCAATTGAAACAAACAATAAACCAAAATAATGCCCAGTTAAGACTTAGTTTTCTAGCTGACTGAAACTAGTAAAAGGCCAAAATCGGGCATGAATGAACACAGTAAAAACTATCAGACAATTAAATGTAGTTACATTTACTATAGTTCAAATGACAGATACGAATACACTCTTTTTTTAGGCAGCTAGGCTTAAAGAGTGCTATTTATCTTGGCTCGAGCCTTGGAATAAGGACTTCTTCTACAGTCTTTATCAAAAGAGACCTTGTTTCCCAACCTCTTGCATTTGTTAATTTTTAGTATTTCTTGGTATCCTTATTTTAAACTCATTTTAATATTGCAGTATTATAAGTAGCATAAATTTTAACACACCAGACTCTTATTTCTAATAATTGCATGTTTTATTGTAGTGCATGCTGTGTCTAAGTTAGAGTTTTATTACATTCTGTTAATTTATAAATTTCCATGTAGTCTGATTTCTGATTCATACGGTCTGAATCGTTTTAGTTGCCGATAACCCAACTCCACCACCACCTCCTCCGCCAGATGACATTCCCATATTTGATGACTCCCCACCTCCACCGCCCCCTCCTCCAGTGGACTATGAGGATGAAGAAGCTGCAGTAGTTCAGTACAATGATCCATACGCAGATGGGGATCCTGCCTGGGCTCCCAAGAATTACATTGAAAAGGGTAAGGTACCATCCCACATCATAGAACTGATGTGAGGGTTAACACCTAATTACAGAATTTTAGAACCCAAAAAAACATGGGGTCCTGTGTTTCTGTTGCTCGCTTGCCTGTCTATTCTGATGTAAGAATTAGGAATCTTGGGCCGGGGATTTAGCTCAGTGGTTTTGCTGCCTACTGCGCAAGCTCAAGGACCAGAGTTCGATCTCTGGTACTGGAAAAAAAAAAAAAAAGAATTAGGAATCTTCATAAAAACAGTTGGCTTTGTTATACTGTAGATTTAATAGGCATTATAATCTAAAATTCAATTAAATGCTAGATGTAGATACTCATGTAATGTTTCAATTATTCTCGCTACAGTTGTTGCAATATATGATTATACAAAAGACAAGGATGACGAGCTGTCATTTATGGAGGGTGCAATCATTTACGTGATAAAGAAGAATGATGATGGCTGGTATGAAGGAGTCTGCAATCGAGTGACTGGCCTCTTCCCTGGGAACTATGTTGAATCAATCATGCACTATACTGATTAATTTTTTTATTGTTTTGCTTTTAAAGTAGATTCTTATTACTCATACTGTGGACTATTACAGTTAACAGAATTGTCTTAATGTTTTAAAATGTGCCCATATTTTCAGGAAATGTTGTTTATTGGTATATTTGAATGTCCACCTATAAGCATAAATCTTTGTGGCAGTTTGTGTATTGCTCAACAGCAATTTATACAAGAAGCTGCCCATAAATGATTATGCTTATGTACTTACACATTGTTAACTTTATGACCAGCCTAAATTTTCTGGGGAAGTGGGGTATAATATTTAACAAATCATGATTCAGATTGTACCATTACATGTCTCAGTGCAGCATGGTTACTAATACTATGTCAGACTAATATTAAAATCAGAAAACTTAAATGCTGGTGCTGGCCATACTTTTTGTTTAGATTCTCTCATTTTTAAAAACTGTTTAAAGCATGCATAAAAATTTATGTATTGAAATATACTTAAAAATTCCAAGATGCTTCCAATTTGTGTACTACTTCCCAGAGTACTCATATTAGGTGAGTTGCTAAGGTCTCCATGTGAAACAAACACAAAGGATCATCTGTAATGTTGTAATTTGTACCTAAGTTTTTTTATGAGCGAATTTGCATTATAAATTTTTCCATTCATAAACACGTAAGTGGACCAAAGGTTTTTGTCCTTTCCTTCACTGGTTTGCTTTTAAAAATACAAAAACTGATTTACTGCAGAATTATCGTTCTATTTTCTCAATATATTAACTTGGAAAAAAATTTTAGCCTTATCTCAATGTGTCCCAATAGCAATGTGATGGATTTTTGCAATTTAAAATCTAAGATGATTATTTACAAGTCAAGTCAATCTACTGAATTCCTTTTTTAAAGTAACTTTTGAAGCTAAGAAAATATTTCAAAGTATGTACATCATTCTGTAGGTAAAATTCTTAAGGATTGCTGTGTTAGTCCTTTAGTTTTACAGTGGACTGTTGTACACTGGTTCAGTAAAAGGAACTTACAAGTATCTTTTACATACTGTAAAAGCGGATGCAGTTAATTTGTGAATAGGCGCTATTTAATCTTATTGCCTGAGACTAGCAACATTGAGATTTAAAAATAATTGGGAAAGGTGAAGCATATTGCAAAGAGATATACTTACTGAACCAACAGATCTGTATTGTCTTCTGACATAATTGAAATGCAACACATGCACTTTGTGTGTCTCCTTTTAATTTAAGAGAGGGTTAGCTGGATGTTTTCTTCTCTTTTTATCTTGTGTATAATTCTATATTGCTTAGGATACTAAAGTAGAACACTCCAGTATGGGTTTCTGTGTATTGAAGATTTATTTGGATTTCAAATTTCAGTTATGTACTGGGCGTTACAGACTTAAAAACAGCATAGTGAATGGTGAGATTAGTGCAAAACATTTCTGAAAATTAAAGACCATTATTGCTACCAAATCAATGTGACTGTTTCATATGCATTTTGCCTTTAATTTTAAACAAAGTATCATTAGTGATCAGCTAGCTAACTTCTACTTCCTTTTTCAAGTTGAAAGTTCTCTTAATTTGTATATAACCTGTTGTCTAAATTTTATGTACAGTCTTTTATAATAAACCATCTCCTATATGAAATTTTGGGTATTGTTAAAATATAACTAATGTGGATTTAGGTGCAGACTTCACAATTTCCTGACCTGATTCTTATGGTGAAACAAGACAAGCAAGTCAACTGAATTTTAACATTGATCATTTATTTGTGCAGTGGCTTCACATGTGGCTATTAACCATGTAAACAATACCACATATAAACATCAAGATACCTCGATTAGACTTTATACGACTACAGCGACAGACTCAGGTGGTTTAATTACATTTAAAAAGTTTTCTGAAAAACTATGCCAATAAAAAAAACTGCCCAAGCATAAGGTTGAAATTATTTTTTTTATTTTTTGGTACCAGGAATCGAACTCAGGACCTTGCGCTTGCGAGGCAGGCGGCGGAACCACTGAGCTAAATCCCTGGCCCTGCAATTATTTTTTAAAATGATTTTTGGTTATCTGCACATGAAGCAAACAAAGTATATTCCACAAATTTTTTAGGCACAGTCTGGTAAGGTAGCTGCCAGAAAGAGCAGAAAGAGTCATCATTTCTGTCTTGTGAGTACGATTTCCGAAAGCTGAATGAGGGCGTCCCTCTCTGGGGATGGCCGGAGTTTACTGATCTCCCTCACTGCTTGGTGGCAGTACTGCTGGGCGAGGTAGGTTGTCTGCTGCACACCGTCACTCTGGGTAGAGAACAAACAGAACGGGCGTCAGGACCGGGTCAGCTCTTGGGTTCCAGCCAGGATGGATTACTCAGACTGTTGAGGTCAGATGAGCTGAAGGTGAGTCATGCTTTTTAACAGCCAAACTATGTTTCTGATGTTCTCTTTCCAACTCAGTCTTAGCTTCCTCTGCCTACTTCTTTTAAGCTTTATTTTTTTTGTTGTCTTTTTTTTTTTGGTACCGGGGAACCAGACTCAACATCAAGTAGCTATTTTCTATTTTTTTCCTTAAGCAGTTGGGCTTTTCAGAGTTCTGAGAGTAACGCTCCTGTGATCCCAGCATCTTGGGAAGCTGAGGCAAGAGGATGACAGACAGGCTCCAACCCAGTCCGGACAGCTTACTGACAAAACTTAAAAGGGCCCTAAGTTCAATCCCTGGTACCACAGGCACCAAGAAAGAAAAGCGTGCCGCAACAAAGAATTGTACGCAAAAAGGAACATTTTCAGTATTTTCAGTAAAGGGCTTTCTATGATGACACTCAGCAGCCCCTTTCTCCTGACAGCACTAGCCTTGTCGGTTGTTTCTCAGTTCTCGTCTGTTGCCTTTCTGTTTAGAATAACTTGCCCACTCATACTGTGCCTAATTTGTTATGTTGCAGTCTTTATTCTCGCTAATCACCTTGTCATCAAGTAGCATCAACTAATCTTTGTAAGGTGAGGGTATCAAGGCTCCTGTCCTTACCTATACTGTTACACTGTATAGTTTGTGTTCTATTCTGTAACTATGTTTTTTTCTTTTTGGTACCGGGGATCGAACTCGGGACCTCGTGCTTGGAAGGGAGGCGCCGGAACCACCGAGCTAAATCCCTGGCCCTGTAACTATGTTTTTAATGTTGGTTCTTTCTAAAAGCTGGACATTAATAAAATACTTATAACAGTGGAATGAAAGTCATACAGTATAATTTTATTTCCTTCTCCATGGTTTGTGATTCCACTGTCATTTAAAGTAAAATACATCTAACATCATGGTTGAAAGGCTTCTGGTTTTCTATGCTCTTCCAGTTGTTCAAAATAAGACACATTTTAGGTAGCCATGCCTTTTTATACAGAAGCCTGCCTTTCTTGCTCCCATACATTTTGCTGAAGTACACTGGTAAATAACTTACCCAGAAAAATATGTATGGGAAGTCAGCTTTTCAGTCCTTCTGTGAGGATGCCTTCCATTTGCCTTAAGACTTACTGGGTGATTTAACTGAGTATAGAATGCTAGATATAAAACGTTTCTTGGTCATCACTGGCAAGGCCTTCCCTACTGTTTTCTAGTATCCAGTGTGTTCTACACACTGAGCCAGTTCTAACATCTTTTCCTTGAGTAAGTGACCACTGTTTGATCTCTTCCTGAAATATTTGTTTCAGCTCTTCTTTAGTTTTTCAGTCATTTACAGTTTCTTAGGAGTTTGTTCTTACGAATGAAATTTATATTTTAAAAAATCCTGTTCTTGTTTTATGAATGCTGTGGTTTTTATATTTATCCTGGTTTCTTTTGTTTAGCAAGCTTTAAATCAACTCTTCAGTAATACCGAATTGTCTGTTCATGTTTAATTAGGAACAAGGTCCAAAGGCTGGAGTGCAGAGGGACTACAGTTTAGAGGCCTTTGGAGAACTTGTGTGGAGAACATCCCTGTGGATTTTCCCCTGGGTGCTGTTCTGGCTAGGCGTCCTTTCCCAAGACGGTGGAGGCAGGCTTCTGCACAGAAAGTCACAGCAAGCTAAAGCACCGTGTTCTGAACGAATGGTACAGTATTGCACTATTTTACATAAGAGGTATAATTAATTTTCCTCTTTTCCATCCACTTCTTATTCTTGTCTCTCTGTAACCATGTGTTCAACCAGAGGTTGAAACTAGTACTTTTAAAAATTGTGTCTGCTGAGCACACAGAGATATCATTTCTTTCTTGTCATTATCCCTTAGACCGTACCCTTTCACAGCATTCAGTGCAGGAGTGGGTGTTCTATCTAGAGCTGATTTAAGGGTGTGTGGCAGGATGTGGCGGTTCCATGCAGACACCCACTGTTACGAGGGGCTTTTACCGGTAAAACCCATGGATTTGGGTGCCTGTGGCAGATCTTGGAACCAGTGCCAGAGACTGCAGGATGCCTGTCACATTATTTCTGAAACCAGAACCTCTCTCCAGGGCTCTTTGTAGGCTACAGCACCATCAGAGTGAGATTTTATAAGCCTGCCAAACCACCCTCTTGCAGATTATGGTACATCACAGTAAAGCTACTTAGAAATGTATCCTTTTGAAAGGGTTCCGGTTCTTTGCAGTTCTTTCAAGTGTTACATGGAGTGTGGGTCTTAGGCCACATACAGTTACTAAGATTTGTTTACTCAACTTCATTCACTAAATCTGTAGCCTTTAGGTGACTTTGGTACATGTTTTTTTGTTTTGCTTTTTGGTATGGCGAATCAAACTCAGGACCTTGCACTTGTGAGGCAGGTACGCTGCCACTGAGCTACATCCTTGGCCCTTGCCTTCAGGTGACTTTGAATTTTGAAACAGCTCATTTTCAAAACATAGTCTCCCAAGCTGAAACTATACAAAAAGATCTTGTTTTTAGAGAAAATATATGGCAGTATATCTTAAACATCTGGCTCCTGAACAGAGATAAGTAGTTCTCCCTTTACAAGAACAACATTCATGTAAATGTATGGTTGCCTCTGAGCCTTTCTAGGATGGACTAAAAATCTAAGAGTGAGTAGACCATTGTAATAGTCTAGCTGTCGTAAGGATGAGGGCTTGGACTAATTTGGCCAGGCTGGGTGCCTGAGGATGCAGTAGTGTTACTGATGGACGTGGAGCAGACTGGTTCAGAAAAAAAAAACACTATTAATATGCGAGTCTTGCCCAGGTCAGTTAAATTAAAATCTTTGGGCAGTATTGTAGAGGAAAAGTGAATTAATTAAAAATGAGAAAAGGGAATTTTTCCTTCTGTTTTGTCAGATAAAAAGACCACATTTAGTCTGTGTCTGAAATTTAATTTTTAGCTAATATGCATTTGGTTAACAAGTTGTCACACTGTACCTGATGCTTTTTTCTTTTAAAAATAATCCTACCTGTAATACGTATTGTCGAGCTCTGTCCACGTCTCCCGGCAAACTGAACCGTCTCATTATCATAGCGTTCATTTCTGGGAACTAACCATAAAGAAAGGAAATTTATTTATTGTTCTTGGAAGAATTAAGTGTTCTCATACTAGTTTGTAAGAACAGGAAATAACAATTTAAAAACCCAAAAGATGGCTTAAGGTCTAGATGACTGGGGAGAGTGGTAAACTGTAGCAGTAAAGCTGAGCCAGAAGACACGTCCAGTGTCGGGGCCCAGGGATTGCAACAGTACGCTGACAGAAGTGGCCGTGCGGCTTCGCCCATTCTGGTGCTCTGCTCTCTCCTTAGGCCAGAACTGAGAGGCACGAGGATCAAAGTACTTCTCCAAAATCTCACTTGGCTTTGCCGCTTGTGGGACTTCACATTGCATGAGTTCACCCCCATGTTGGGATTCAGTAGGGTAGGGCCCAATCACAGAGCTCTAACAGATTCCCAGGTGCCTCTGGTTCATTCCCTTTTGAGAACCACTGGCTGAGGGCAGGGTAGCAATTAAGACATTCCACGGGGAGTGCCAAGCTGAGGAGCACTGGAAGCTACTGAGATGACCGAGCAGTGTTTGAGCGAGGACAGCTCTGGAGCAGGGTTGCTTGATGTTGCAGTCGTCCATGGAGGCTAAAATACAGCTGTGTGGATCCCACTCCCAAAGATTCTGATTGTGCTGGGTTAGGATTTAGCTTGGGCATCAGGACTTTTAAACTTCCAGGTATTCTTTTTTTGGGTACTGGGGATTGAACTCGGGTCCTTCTGCTTGTGAGGCAGGTGTCGGAACCACTGAGCTAAATCCCCGGCCCCAACTTCCAGGTATTCTTAATATGCAGCTAACTGACTCAAAGGAGAAGTTACTGTAGTGCTGAAAAAGACCAGAATTAAGCTGATGGTAATGAAAGAAAAAAAAGAGGTTCAAGAAAAAAGAAAATAAGAAAAAAAGGGAAAAAAATTTAAAAAAAAAAGGTACAAGACATTAAAGATGAAATTTGTATTCTACAGAACTTATTTAGGAGAATTGCCACCACTGACAGGAAACTAGGACAGCAAATCACTTCCTAGATCCGAGCCCTAGTCCTGATTCTGCCATCAGCTGCCACAGGTGAGTGAGTTCTGTATCTCAGCCTCCTCATTTTTCTCATGATCTGAAATCCTTGTTTTCTAACAGTCTGTAGTTCTGTGGAATAAGAGGTGGGGTGTGTTTGGTCTTGGACACATTAGTGCTTACAGCATTTGCCAGTTTTCCTTGGAAGTGAGCCTAAAGGATGAAATAAGTTGTTGCCCTGTCACCATCGCCGTGGTATTAGTAATTCTGGAAGAAGAAAAAACAGGGCACTCAAGAAAAACTTCACCAAATGGTGGCAGAGGAGGAAGAATGTTCCTTTCAGGGAAAGGTATGTTACAGCACATACTCCTCTCCTGTCCTCTCAAACACACATAATGTGGTCCTGCCACCTGACCTTTCTATCCTTTAAATATGCCACACTTTCCTGTAATGAGGCCACTGTCCTAGTGCTTCTCTCTGCCCTGTGGTGTCCTTCATCCAATCTTTGTATGATTTAATTGTTACCTACATGTAGTTAACATCCAGAGACTGCGAACGTTCTTACATGATGATGGTGATGATGATTATTATTATTATTACTGTACCAGGGATTGAACTCAGGACCTTGCACTTGCCAGGCAGGTGTGGTGCCACTGAGCTAGAGCCCCGGCCCCATTCTTACAGAATTTAAACAGCCAGCAACTGGTTAGTTCCTTAAATGAAAATAAGCACTTTACGAATCATATAAGCTTTAACAGAAACAAATCAAGAAAGCCCCAGTCAAAACAGTTTTTTATGGTAAAACGCCACATCAGGTAGCCCAACTGTTCTAGTATTTTTTTAACACCACATTCCAAAACTATCTTTACAGCTCACATGACCCTGTCCTGGGCATCTAGTAAAATTACCGTTTGGAGTGTGGTAAAATGTGTTGATTTTTACTATAAAATGCATCAAGAAAGCAAAATTTGAAATAAAACTTGCACTGAGTGTGACTGCATTTTGAAACAAGTATGTGCAGTTTTAACATGCAAATGTCAACCTTCCCGCAGGCATGCCCCATCCCCTTAACTGCGCCTGAGGAGAAGAAATAAGACATGGGAAGGACAGTCGCAGGTTTAGTGAGAAAGAACATTTTTGTTAGCTCAGGCTCTGTTTTTAAGAGGAGGAAAACAGCCTGTGAATGAATCAGATTCTCCATCTGTGAAGTCCATCCATAAACAAAGCTACAAAGGTGCTCAGTAAACGGGAGTGGATTTGCCCAAACAGAAGTGGGTGAGCAGGGCAGCAGTCTGCCACAGTAGCATGTGCTTGTGCACCTGGTGCAGGGGCTGGTGGTGGCCGTTAGGAATACGGCTCCAGGCTGCCATTCACCAAGTGAGAAGCAGAAGAAAAAGTTTCTAAAAAGATCTTGGAAACCGAGGTAACGTGAGATTTTGTTTTTACAGGTATAACACACACACACACACACACACACACGGACACACACGGACACACGGACACTGCCCTCTCTCCAGAAATCCTGAAACTCTTAGCTTTATTTTTGCACTGTTGGCTAGGAAATGCCTTCAGGAAGATGTCAAAAACTCTGGGGACAACTTCCCATGCCAAGTAAAAAAGGCAGCTTCCCGAGATGGCCTGTCCTGCTCCAGTGAGACTCAGTGAAGGTCAAATGAGCAAGTTTAAAGACCATCTGATCTGCAGACAAAACTCACCTACCCGTGAGAAAGGGTCGGAAACACCTTCAAAGAACTGCTGTGGTACAGGAGTGCTACGGCGAGCCGCGGGAGTCAGTGCCCGGGCTGGCGGGTTACCTGCTCTGTGGGCCGGTCAGGCAGGTAGGAGCTCACCAGCTACTGACCATTACAACATCGGCACAGTATCATGAAATGGGTGCCGGCCTTGGAAGGCTTGCCAATAGTCAGCTGCTTTCTGAGCCATTTACCACGTTTAATTTGGCCAGACTTGAGCCTCAGCTTCTTACTTGTAGAACAGACATCATAATAGCTACCACAAAGAGGAACTGTAAAGTAGATACAACGTATGAAAGAATCCTTTATAAACTAAAACCACATTTTTATTAAGACATACTACAGGAACTTGCTTTACCTAAAAAATTACTTTTACTTCCAATAAATCTTGGCAAATTTCTTGCTAAGAACCCCTCTTTTGACAGTGTAATCCCGAGTAGAGCCTAAACTTGCTGTTTAATTTGAAAACAATTTATAAGTACACATTTGTGTAACTATAAATACATGTTGACTAAGTTTTGGCCCCTGTGCCACAAGACAAAGATGTCTATTTATGAAATGAGTCCTGTCCAGAGTCACTTCCTGCTTAGCCTCAGCAAGGGCTGTGTTCCCTTTTCTGCAGCTGCACTAGGCCTTTTTATCTCTTTCTTCCCACTGCTTTATGGGCAGGTGAAGAGGTGCCGTCTGGGGAGGGCGAGTAAGCAGATGCCGTGGGACCCTGGGGTTTCCCAGGGAAGCGCACACGGAGCTGCGGTTTCAGTGTCCTCCTTGCGTCCTGTCCCCTTCAGTCAGCATTTTCCCATCTGTGGTAGGTGACTGACAGACCGATACGTAGGAGGGGCGTTCACCTCCCACGCCCGTGCTCCATGACATCTGAAGGCAGAATGAGCCGTTCCTCCTTTGTGCAGAGAGCGAACTAATTTCTTCTGAAATATGTTCACAAGAGGCCACACCATTGTCAACCAATCATCATAACAAATATTTGTAACTGTTGAGATTGCTGGAAGTATAGCAACCAAAAATGTTTAGCAGACTGTAGGCTATTTGAGAAGAAGGCTGTTCCCCAGTTATCCCAGGGCAGTGGTTTCAGGCCGATCCACACGAGGGTCTCCTGAGCTGGCTTTCTTTGTGGCTATTCTCCACTCGCGCTTACTAACCGCTCTCAGGCCGCTGAGGTTTGTGGCTGTGCCACGGGCGGCAGCACTCCTTTACATTTAAATGGCCTCCAGCTACTTTTCTTGTGGGGGTTTACGGCGTAACAGAAAATGTTCTCCACTCATACCTTAATATATTAAGAGGGGTCTTAGAAATTGTGCTAGAATTTGGCAGACATTCACAGCACACCTTTCGCTTCTCACCTCAGCCTCAAAGTTGCAAGAGGGCAGAGCCTGGTACTGAGGACAGATGTGGCCACGCACAGCCCTTCTCCCTTGGCCCAGCCTCCCGGGGTGGCTCAGCGCTGCCAGGCAGGGGGAGAAGAGCTCTCCTTGGGCCACCAGACACTAAACAAAGGCAAGGCCACTGGCGTCTCTGAATGGGAACACCGAGTTGTGCAGAAGACGTGACTTACTCTTTGTGAGTTCTAAGAAAGGACTGGCAAAATCTGAGGGGTCCAAAGCTATTTTTAATTTCAGGGTACAGCGATGACCGTCTTAATACTTTGCCAAATAACTAACTAAATGCCAGTAAGGTGAAAGTCTTTAAAAACCACCCACGTGCTGGCTAAGGTCCCACGTATTTCAGCTGGTACTCGGTACAGCCAAAAGCAGCATGGCCAGGCCTGTGCGGCCGTGCCCATGTCTGCCCCGTAGGGCACCGCAGCGTCCTCGATGCTCCCTAGGCCTTGGCCCGTGTGGAGGAGAAGACAAAGGCGGCTTTACTTCCTTCCTTCCTTGCCAGTCCCTCATTCTGGCTCTAGTGCATTCCACTGAGTTCTTGACATTGAGAGGCCTCTCTCAGAGCAGCACACAGTCCCATTAAACTTTGTTTCTTAGGCTCCGAGGCCCTTGATGCTTCCTGTGCCTTTTTAAGGGGCTCTGAGGCATCCACAAGTTCCAGTCCTACAGTCACGAGGTGGGAACCACTCACCTTGCCAATGCCCAGAACAGGAGAGCTAACCAGAATGCTCCCTTAAATGCACAGGGCACTTTACAGCTTAGAGGATGACAAGTGTCATCTCAGCTACTCCTCCGGACAACCGAGGAGGAGGGGAGACGGTGATCTTCTCTCTTTTACAGATTAGGCTTCCAGAGGTGAAGGCTGGCCCAACATCTCAGTCATGAAACCAGGATCAAATCTAGACCTCTGGGCTCTTGTCTGAATGCCTCCCTGTTCCCATCAGCCATGCCATCAGAGACCGCGGTTCTGCAGGGCCGCTAAGCAGTGTGTCCAAGGGGATTTTGTAAACTTACCTGCCGACAAGCGAACAAGACAGGGCCAGTGGCTAACCCGAGCTTCAGGTCAGCGGACGTAGGTTTGCCCATCTCTTCGGAACACGAGGTGAAGTCCAGTACATCATCCACGAGCTAGCACAAGGGAAAGGCTGTGAGAAGCAGCCACACCCACGCCCACAGCCCCGCTCCCCTCTGCTGCTTTGAGGGGAGCGCTGGATGCTCAGCCCTTCTGGGAAGCAAGGCACACCTACCTGGAATGCTATCCCCACATTCCTTCCATACTGATAGGCAATCTCGTGCACTGCTGGGTCAGGGCACCCTAGGACAGAGACCTGAAACACACAGGATTCAGAGATGAGCTGCTGGCAGCCAGAATCGTGGCCAACAACCCGGGATCCAAGAAGCAGCCATACAGTTCCTTAAGTAAGGCAGTGAGGCCATGTTACACACAACCAGAGATGCTGCTATCAAAAGGGCCAGGGATTTAGCTCAGTGGTGCCTCTGCCTGACTCGAAGGCGCATGGACCCGAGTTCGATCCCCAGTACCAAAAAAAAAAAAGGCTAAACAGATCTATTCTTTACTTCCTGTGTTTGGCAGTGCTAGGGATTGAACCTGGGCCGCCGGCGTGCTAGGCAAGTGCCCTATCACACAGCAAATCCCCAGCTTGTTTTCTTCTATTCTAAGAAAATAATTCCACCACCTGCCCCCACTTCTGTCAAAAGAGGATAAGCAGTGTTTCCCACTGCTTAAGAAAAACCACGCTGTGACGAGGCTGGTTCTGCTGGTAATATGCCGCGTACACTGTTGTGACATGAAAAAGAAACATGATGGTATGCGAAATGCCGGCTTCCAGGACGCCCCACACCAGCCTCAATGCTGCTGCTTTAACAGCCCCCACGGCTATATCCTTCCTGCTGCCATCTACTTCCCCATCTGTAGTTCATTCTTTTGATAACTTGTTGACTCCACTTATCTTTGAAGGCAATTATTTCTTGCTGTATCTGTAACAGCCTCAAGCCTCTCATGTTTGGACGTGGTGTTTCATTTTAAGAAGCCTTCCTCGGATCTTCCTCAGTCCTAGTGTTTCTATACTTCTCTTAGAAGAAATAATTTAACTGTATAAAAACTTATCTTTTTCCCCTGTTGGTGGGGGGAGAAATAGGACTTCAAGTCTTTAAAGCTAGAAAAAAATCTAGCCAGCCCGGCCCCTTGAGTGTATTTCCTGCTGCTCTGCTAAGCAAGCTAAGCAGGCCCAGCCACATTTGCAGAAAACAAAGACGGGGTCAAAAGCAAATGGGGGCCGGGGGAGACAGTCTGTTGTGCTGGAGAGGAGAGGGGGTGTCTACACGGACGCGCCGTGAAAGCCAGACGGAGCCTTCCCGGTGCTGCTTCTGCGTACGTTGATGCACAGCCCTGTCCCCTCGTTCCCTCTCTCTGCCCCGTCTGGACCCATCTCAGCTGGGCACCAGCGTGGCACTGCGGGGGTGGGCCCTGCAGCGAGCCTGCCACGGTCGGATTTATGCCCCTTACACCACCAGGCCACCTTGGCAGCAGCCAATCTTTGGTGCTTCAGTTTCTTCATCTGTGAGACGCGAGAATTAAAAGCACTTACCTCAGAGGCTGAGGAGAATAAATGTGAGGCTACACCTACGCGCCCCGCGGCTCTGCCTGGCTGCTGTTCTTACAAAGGGTCCCTCCCATCTTCCTCGAGCACGCACTGGGCCAGAGCCAGGCACGCGATCGGAGGCCCTCAGCTCCGAGACCCCGTTCTGACCCCGTTCTGACGGCCACAGCGCCTTAAAGCAGGGCTGCGGGAAAGGGCGGGGCTGCTCGGTGAGCGCAGGTGTTAAGGCCGCCGGTCTGCAGCAGCAGGACCCTGCGTGCTCCAGGGAGGAACAGGCAGCCAGGACAGCCATCAAGCTGGCTCAGAGGAGAGCAGGGCAGGAAGGGCTTGGGCAGCCCGGGAATGCTGAGCTCAGGAAAGGAAGATGCTGCTTTTCCCAGACGACATAACGGGCCACAAGCAATTTCCTGTGGCGAGATCAACGCTGTTTTCTCAACACAAAGCCACCCAGAAATACAAACTTTCTTTCTGAAAAATGAAAGCGTTTCTAAAGTCTATAGTTAATGAATTTATGGAGCATATACGATTAGCACTTTGCATTAGTTTAGTTAAAGCTCACCATATCCCATCGCACTGACGAGGGAACTGCGGCTGACAGCTTGGTATCGATCCCGACATCTCACAGGAAGTCAGCCACAGGGCCAGGAGCTGCTGCCAGGCTGATCGCTGCAGTGCAGCCCCTAACCCAAGCCCCAGCAGAGGCCGAGGCCAGGGATGTGCGAGTCCACACAGCGTGAGGCCCAGCACGCAGCTTCTACACACACACACGCACACACGCACGCACACGCACGCACGCAGGTGCGCGTGCAAGCACGGCGAGGAATTACCGAGCTGCTCGATCTCAGCTCCTGCAGCCTCAGGACCGCCGCCGGGCCCCGGCCCTGACCAGGCCCTGACCCGGCGGAGCCGTCTGGGTCTGTGGCACGCTAACCGGGAAATCACCACGGCCAGGAAGATTACAGCCCATAGGGCACAACACAAGACACCCAGAAGGCGCGCACACGAGTCCCGCAGCTTGCACTTGGCATCAGAGATGCTGCACGTCTTGCTGGAAGTGAGTGGAGTCCGAGAAGGACTGGAGTCCAACTAAGTGGTCTGAAGAGAGGCCGCAGGCTTCTTCCTGGGGAGCCCAGCACAGGAGCCTGTCCTGGGCCGCCCGAGAGAGCAGGGCGCGTTCCGTCTGCACTGCAGGGCAAAGTACTTGATAACAGCGAGGCTCTCAGCCCTCAAGGGCGGCGTCTGCACCACCACAGATAAGAACTATACCCTGACGGTTAACTGTATGTATTTTGGTCTTACTAAGACTAGTGCAGAGGGCCGGGGATGTAGCTCAGTGGTTTCACCGCCTGCTGAGCAAGTGCAAGGACCTGAGTTCGATCCCCGGTACCAAAAAAAAAAGTAATAATAAAATAAAAATAGTGCAGAGAACTAAATGCTACCATTAACAACAGAAAATAGTATCAACTAGAAGAGTATTGTCCAAAATCAACTGAAAATACTGGGAGAAAACACTCGACATAATACCATGGATAAAAAGCTAATAATATTCTTAATATATGAACCGTTCTTAAAAGCTGAGGAAAAGACCAAATACCCCCCAGAAAAATAGGCTAAAGACACGAACAAACAATTCACAACAGTGGAAGATATAAAATGTCCCTTTACTTTCTGAAAGGATGTCCAACTCCACTCAGAAAGGAGATGTGTTAATGAAAGCTTCACTAGATGCCATTTCTCATATCACGATGGCAAAAAACTAGTCTAATGCCATGTGCAGCTAGAAGACTCCGGAAGAGGTCAGACACCCTCATAAACCTCGGATGGAACCACATACAGGTTCAACCCTTACGTGGAGAAATGTGGTAGTGTCTAGCAAAGCCACATACACCACTGCCCCTAAATTTACCTTGAGGTTTACTTCTCACACTCATGCAACATTAAATCATTGTGGTGGTGTTTGTAATCGTAAAATATTGAAAACCAAAAGGCCCATGCACAGGAAAGTGGTCAAGTAAACCACTGCTAGGTCCACACACTGGACATGACACAACTATTTTTTTTTTTTTTTTTTGGTACCGGGGATCAAACTTGGGTCCTTGCGCTTGCGCAGCACGCGGCAGAACCACTGAGCTAAATCCCCGGCCCGACACAACTATTTTTAAAATAAAGATTCCACAATCAACACGAAATTGTTTCAGAATACATTAAGTGAAGAAAGCAAGGTGCAAAAAGCAAAACACAAAGTAGTCCAGCACAGGATCTGCGAGGAGGAGGAGGAGGAGGAGGAGGAGGAGGAGGGGAGGAGACGCCCCGTGGGTGTTCTGTGCTGCAAGAAATGCAGGAAGGAGGGCCCAGGAAGGGGTGAGGGCGGGCGAGCGAGCGGTCACCTCTGCCCCGGGGCTGGGGTGAGAATGAAAGGGGAGGCGCGCTCAGCTAAGTTCAGACTTCTGCAGCAGTGTTAATGCCTCACACAACAGTAACACAATTCTCAGCCAAAGGAACAAAATCGGTAACGATGGGAGGGAACCCTAACGTGGAATGAAAATGAACCAAATTTTATTTCAAACAACATAACCACAGTGAAAAGGAGAGGTAACGTCTAAATGGGCTTTGGTTATACTATCCTCAAGACAGAGTACACAAAATACTGAACTCTAGCCATGGGTTTTGTTTTTCACAGATACAAGTTGTCGGGGTTCCTTTTTTTGGTACCGGGGATCAAACTCAGGACCTTGCACTTGCAAGGCAGGTGGTGCCACTGAGCTAAGTCCCCAGTCCAAGCTGTCAGTTTTGAGATCCCTATCAATATTCTACGATCAAGCAAATACAAGTCCCGTGGAGAATGAGAACCGAGTCTCTCACGGTCAGGAAGGAAGCTGCTAAGTCATGAATCCTGGGGCTCAGATGGGGACATTACTCGGCAGCTCTTCCACTGAGAGGCCTGGAAACCGGGACACCATGGGCCCAAATTCTGGTTTCTAGGGACCATTCTCCAACGCCAAAAGGAACTTGGGCTCCTTGGGGAAACAGCAGATCCCCAGGCTGGAAAAAACAAAATGAGCCTGGAATATCTCCCAGAAATCAAAGCAGTGAAAGCATGACCGGGACGTGTTAGAAGCAGGGCCTTCCCCTACTGGCCCAATATGAGCATGAAAATAAACAACTGTAAAGAATTATAATCCACAGAATAAAACAAAAACCCAAGGGTCTATACAGATAAGAGCTTCCTTACAAGGATATCTATCAACTCTACTGCTGAAGAGGAATGACAGGGCTGGGGATGTGGCTCAGTGGCACTGCGCCTGTCGCCTGTCTCGCAAGCACAAGGTCCTGAGTTCAATTCCCGGTACAAAAAAAAAAGGAACAGAAAAGCCACTATTTCACAACCATTGTAGCAATAATGCCTCAGGAAAGAACCACAAATGAGAATGTGATGAGAAACTATTTACATAACATGCAAATACTTCCTTGAAAATAGGCCAACTTTACGGTGGAGACATGTGGCAGACACCACCCTAACCAAGTGATCAGAGGCACATCAGTGAGATGGGACGGGAGAAGACCTCCTCCTCCCTACATGACAGCAGCACACAGCACACAGCTCTGCTTCTGCTGTGTTCCTACCGAAGTCTCACAGCTGAGCCCAATCCTGAGAAATACCAGACAAACCCAACTTAAGAGGCTCCACAACCTAATTATCCCACACTCTTCAAACGTCACGGGCTAAGAGACAGAAGGCTGAGGACCTCTTCCAGGCTCCTCTTCCCCTGGGGATTAAAGGCCTTTGCAAAGAGCTACACCACCATCACCACCATCACCATCACCATCACCATCATCATCGTCATCATCACTTTGTCCCCCTTTTTAGAGGCCCTGTACACGCTGCTCAATTGCTTAGGCTGGGCTCCAACTTGCAATTCTCCTGCTTCAGCCTCCCAGAGTACTGGGGCTACAGGCGTGTGCCACCACATCTGGTTATTCCAGACTTAAAGAGACTAAGATCTCATGACAACCAAAGGCAACCTGAGCCCTTGCATTGGCTCCTGGACCCCCACCACCAATTTTTCCCCTTCTGTTGTGACAGTATTTGGAAAATGGCAAAATCCAAGTAAGGCCTACAGACAGCAAGATTATAGCAACACAAACAGCATCCTAATAGGACCCACACACAAAATTCTATGGTGGCCCGCTGGAACTTTGAGACTAAAATCACAGGAAGAGAGCCTGCTGATTCCAGGCCTCACCATCTTTTCCATGTGGTGCTGGGACTGGAACACAGGGCCTCGTCCACGCTGGGCAAGCTCTCTTCCCTCAACTGTACTCCCACCCCTCAGCCATCTTTTGATAGTAAGATTAATTCTACGTAATATCAATCAGCCACAAAATAATCTCCCTGGACAGCCCCTCTCAGGGAAAGGTGGCATCCTCAAGATGAAGTGTAAGGCGAGCAGTGCCCCTCTAGTTCTCAAAGCATTTGGGGATCACATTAGTTCTTCTGTAACAATCCTGATCTCTACAGTCTTACCCCGCTTTGTGGCAGGTCTGAGTTACTTTCCATGCTCTCCTTTAGAGCTCACATGCCTCTGCATTTTAAATACCAAGAGTACATTAAAAATACCAATTTTGAATACATAACACCTCTGGAATATTTCCACCCATGGGCGGTCAAATATAGAAACTTTTATTTGGAGAGCTCACACTGATTTTCCTTCCTTATTCTAAAAGCCTTGGGTAGCGGGGCATTCTGGGCTGACGCCAGCATGCCTCATAGCAGACAGCGTTCAGCGGTTCATTTCATGAGGGCCGAGCCATATCAATGCACGTACAGAATCCCTTGCTCGCTTGCTAACCTCTGAAGAATGAGGTGCCCTTACAGAAGAATGCACACACATTATCCACAGTACTGAGGCAGAGAACGGTGAGCAAGGCTGAGCGGCCTCTTTGGGGTGCCATCGCTGAGTGACTGAGCTACTGTTCTGCTCCCATGTCGGGGGCCGGCTGTCTGCTGTGTTTCCACCAGCCCCACCACCTGCTCCTACTTCTAATCAGCCTCAAACCTGTGAAATCATCAGTGACTTCGCCCCACACACCAGTGTGTCCTAGGAGGGTACATCCGGACGACTATCTTGGCTCTCAAGGACAGGACAATCTGTGAAGGATAATGCACCTGCCTTGCAGTACCCATTTTAAGTAGGTCATTCTTTTATTATTTAGCATTTAGTGTCTATTATCATTTCATCGGTCTCTCTTTTCTTAAAAAAGCACACTTGTAATTTCTTGCAAATAAAACATAAATAGGTCTTTTACTAAAAAGGAGAAAATGGCTGAGATGTGGCCCGCATGTTCCATATGTTCCATATAATCCACATTCCTTAGGGTTTCAATTAAGTCTTCCTTGGAAGAAAAGGTTGTCCTCATCCTTTTCTGGCTCACAATCACAGTTTTCTTGACACTCGACAGTATCAGCAAGGGACTTTTCTCTGCAGTTGAGTGTAATTATGCTAAGAGGGTCTCAAGGCAGCCATTTACCTGGGGGGTCTTCCCCAGGAGGCCTTCTTTCCTGTTGCTTTAATTACATGGGGCTGTTACCTGTCTCTGTCTGCTAGGCAGACAAAATTCAGACAAAAATTCTATGGAGACTGTTTTCTCTCATAGGCTTAACGAAGGTGCTAACTGATGTAAAAATGCATGCATGTGGAGAATGAAGGGAAAGCCAGGGGAAACAGCTGACAGTTTACACCCCATTTATATTCCAGAGGAAAAAAGGCTCATTTATACTTCATATAATAATACTGGGAAGATCTAATAAAAAATATACAGGCCACTAGTAAAATCTACTCGGTATTTTCTCTTGGGTGAAAATATATTTAAGAACACAGTACTTCCTAACTTTTTAAAGTCAGATGTCAGAAATAATGTAACGACAACTGTGAGAAAAACTGACATAAACTGTTCAGAGTGCTACAGTTTGGACATTAGATTGAGGAATACAAGGTGCGATAAAAATATACGGTGAATGAAAGTCACATCGCCATTGATTCCCTTTGCAATCCTTCCCCTTCCTTCAAAGACACGGACTCCATCGCTCGTGCCCCTTTCTGAAGCAGTTCTGGAGTCCTCTTTCTTGTCTTCAGTTGCACTGTTGTGGCTGCCCTGAGGTCCTGAATCGATTCCAAATGTTTACCTTTCACGGTCCTTTTGACTTTCGGGTGAACAAAGTGGATGAGGACACACCGTGATGTGTGTATGAGCCTGTCTTTCTGTCTTTTCTGACACCCAGCAGCAGCGCTCACAGTATTCATCAGAGCTCATAAAGACACTCAGGAAACTGCTTCAGAAAGTGGTGAGAACAATGGGCTGTGCGTTGGAAGGGAGAGGAAGGGTTCTGAGGAGGACTAATGGCAATGTGTCTTTTATTATAACAAATTTCTTTTAAAAATTCAAACATTCACTGTATGTTCTGGGTACATCTTGTACTTTGATTCCCAATTGTGGAAGACAAAAAGCTAATGTCTGAATACCAAAGGAGGACAGCAAAAAATGGAAACCAATAGCCTAAGCAGAAATTCTCTGCTTTTGGGAGTGTAACTGTTTCCTCATTTGCCTTTTGGAATTCTGTATACTATTCCAAGGTTCTCCAAACAAATGTTTTCTAGGAGAATTAGCTCCCAAGAAAGCGCAGAGACTTTTTAACTTGCAAAGAGACAGAACGTACATACTGCTTTACAACTGTGCGCTATCAGGCTTGCAGTCTTCCTGAAGGTCTTCTCAAGGTAGTGGGCAAATCGCCCACTCTCATCTTCTTTTGATCCTAGCTGAAGAAATTCACCTAGAAAGGAAAGGGATCACTTAAGACACGGTTTTGTTGCCTGCGTAAATACAAGGACTAAATTCTTTTAAAAAGGAAAGAAAGAAAGGTCAGAATCAACCTACCACGCACCAAATCTTCAATTACTTGGGTTAAAATAGATATAACAGTAGTGTTTCCAATCCGTGCCAGAGCTATAGATGCTGCAGAAAGAATTAAATCTCCAGCGAGAACAGCCTAAAAAAAAAAACAACCAAAAAAACTCAGATAAAAAGATCAGCACAATGGAGCCAAGGATGAAGCTGGCTTGTCAGAAGATTAAGTACAGGGCCGGGGATGTAGCTCGGTGGCTCTGCCGCCTGCCACGCAAGCGCAAGGTGCCGAGTTCCATCCCCGGTACCAAAGAAAGAAAATACAGAAGGGGAAAGAGGTGTCATCTTGGATGTAAGCTCTTCCCTGTGTTAGTTACTCTTCTCTCCTTGCTGAGACAAAATTCCCAACACCCAGCTAAAGGGGAAAAGGGTTTATTTAGTTCACAGTTCGTAGAGGTTTCAGTCTATAATCAGCTGGCTGCACGGCAGGGCGGCAGCGGGGCACGAGCTCAGACAAGACAGCCGAGGGCAGAAAAAGCAAGGGACCTTCAAAGGTCTTTCTGCTCCTTGTATCTTATTCAGACTCCTGGGATAGGGCGGTGCCGAACCAACCACTGTGGCGGTGTATAACCACACGCGCGAATCGAACACCACACACCCCAGATCCAGCCCCTTCTGAAAAGGACTGCACGAGGCCTGGGGACATCTGGCCACGGGCCTAGCATGCCCTCCTCTTCCTCAGCGGGTTACCTAATCGGGTACAGGTTTGGGCTGCTCTCTGACCTGGACTGCTTCTAGAGATGACCTCTCTCCGCGGTCCGGCCAAAGAAATGAACAGCGAGCGGGCGGGCAGCTTACCCCGCAGCCCCTCCGCACCACCAGCACGGGCTGGCTTCTGCCCAGCCACACTGGACTCTTGGCCTGTTCAAGCCGCGTCTGACTCTGCACTTCCCGTCCCTTCTGCTCGGACACCCCGTAGGCTGCGGTCTCAGCGCATTGGTAGGAAGCTCACACGTGAGGCACGCTGGTTTCATTCTCAGCACAAGCACAACAAGAACAACAAGAACAAGTCCTCTCCGCACCGCACAGAGCACTGGGCAGCATCAGTGCTGACATCAGCTCCAGGAAGCCCCGAGCCGAGCCGAGCTGGGCCAAGCGCTGCGCATTCCCGACCGACCGGGTGAGCACAACCCCGCAGGCACTTCGCGTCCCAGGGAGGCGGCTCACCACTGCGGGACCCTCCTGCTGGTGCTCCTTCTCTGAAGACAAGAAAGGCGCTCCAGGTGCAGCGCTCTGCCTCGGGTCTCAGCCTTTCTCCCGCGGCGCTGGGGACCCAAACAAGGGCTCCCCTCCTGCCACCCGAGTACTCTGCCACTGAGCTACAGGCCTGGCAGGGCAACATACTGTCCTCACTGATCACCTGGGGATCGATACTTTGCCAGACAGCTTCAGACTGTGAATGTCCAGAATGTATTTGCAAAATTGTAAATTATAGTTGAACTGCTGTAATCAAATACCGTATCTATGCGTCCATATTAATTTGCATATTTTAAAAAGGCACGTTAATTTCTACTAGTCATAGACGGTACAGTTCGTAGAAGTTCCAATTAACGTATCATTTTGGGTAGTTACTGTCAGTTCCCCGCAGTTCCTAAAATGGTGACGTCCACGCTGTATCAGTTAATCGTTTCCTATAAAACGTGTTGCGTAGGTTGGCTCCACCCAAGAGTTCCCGCGACCCCAGGCCCTTTACACCGCGACACACGTGCGCACTTCACCGCCCGCTTCCGCCGGCAAGAGGCCGGTCAAGCCGGAGCCGGAGACCTGGCCACTCTCAGCCCAGAAGCTGCCCTGAGAAGGCGGGAAGAGGAGGGGCCAGGCAGCCGCTGGGGGCGCAGAGGGCGCAGGGGGCGCAGAGGGCAGCGGTCACCGGGTCCTTCTCCGCCCATTCCCGCCGGACACAGGCCAGGTGGGCGCCTGCCGCCGTGAGTCCTCTGCAGAATGGAGCCCACCACCTGTCGCCAGTACTGATCCGTGGGATTTGTCAAGTGGACGCAAAACTTTTCATTTCAACTGTGAAATAAGGTGTACGAGACTGGAGGATGCCATCCTGCAATTCACTGACGACAGAGCACAAACAGAGGTGAGGTGGAGGCAGGCAGGGGAGGCAGACGCCGGGGCTGGGTCTAGGCCCAGGCCGTGAGCCCAGAGGATTCTGGCTGTCCCGCCCTGGGTGCGAGCGCTGCCCCTCCAAGGGCAGGCAGCCTGAACAGGATGCAAGGGACAAAGGCTCCGCTTGCCGCCACCCGGGCCTGCCCTGCGATGCCCCTCTGCCTCGCCCTGCTCACTGTATGGACCGAACCTCTCCTCCTTCAGCTCTGGGTGTCGGGCCTTGGACACAATAACTGTAACATGGGGGAGCAGGAGGTGGGGGTTCACCTGGCCAACGGCAAACGAGGGCTGTGGGGCTGCGGGCCCTCCCAGGGCCTGTGCCCTCGGTTTCTTTTGTTCCCCGTCTGTGGCACTTTGTTCCCACTCTTTACCCCACAGCTTAGACTTCCTCAAACTAAAACCTCTATCTGGCACGCTTCCTTCCAGGAACCCTGAAATAACATGGAAATATACTTCATAGTTCTATTTAAAAAGGTAACACTTTCAATGTAAGACAGCATTTCTCTATTATTTCTTCTTTTCCCTTTTTTTTAAGCACTGTCTTGACACTCTTCCAGAAGGCAATCAGTCAGTAAACGTTTAACGAATTAAATTCAATCTGGGTAATGTAGGCCCCAAAGTAAAACATACAATTACTCATAAGATACTCCTTTTGGACACTAATGAAAAGCCCTTTTCTTATAACCAAAACAAAAAATTCTACATGAAATGGTAAATAACCAGAAAAACTGTTTATTGTTTTTTTCTATTGTGATTTATCTTGTCTATCAGATGCTATATGACAAAATGAATATATTTTTAAATTTGGAAAACCATACTTGAGCAAGTATATTTTATTTTAAGGAGACAAATCTGGAAAGCAAATAGAATACAGTAAGTCCCTGAATTATGAACATTCAAGTTGCGAACTCTCACAGATACGAACAGACCTGGAATCACGAGCATTCGTAGATCCAAACAAACTGCGCAAACAGCTCACGCCTGCCAGACACACGGCGCTCACTGGGCCGTGCGACTGACTGCACTGTGTGGACGTTTGGATTTTTAATCTTCACACTGTATATCTGTGCCAGAGGCTGTAAGACTCACTTTTCAGACTACAAAGGAATCTACCTTATAAGTGTTCTCCCTAAACGGAACTCCTTCTTAAACCAGAGGCTTACTGTATGAAAAGCGTGTGATTTGGTGAGATTTTTAGAACCCCCCCAAAGAAGAACAACAACAAGCGTACCTTCTTCTCACCCCAGATCTTATTAACTGTGCGTTTTCCTCTTCGGGAGGTGGCGTCGTCGATGATGTCGTCATGAACCAGGCTAGCAGTGTGGATCATTTCTGTAATTAAGGCTATAGTGCGCTGGCCGGCTTGCACGTCTCTAGTTAACAGAAAGCAATGCTTTTAACAGAAGCCACCTACAACCTTCTCAGCAATCATCTCGTGAAAACATTGGATGCAGGTTAAAGAATTTTATTTCTCTAAGAGAAACTGCATCAAAACCTTAGCTTCCAAAAATAAAAAATAAAATAAATTAAAAAAAAGAAGAAAAGGTATCTAGCTAAATTCTGGAACAAAAAAACCCAAAACCTTAGCTTCCCTACAGAGCCATTTCTATCGCTTGGAGAACATTCTAAAAGTGCACAGGAGGGGCCGGTGATTTAGCTCAGTGGTTTCGCTGCCTGCCTCGTAAGCGCAAGGACCCGAGTTCGATCTCCGGTACCAAGAAAAAAAAAAAAAAGAAAAAGTGCACAGGAAACCCTGCCAAAAGTCCATGGACTCCTCAGTAAGCAGCAGAATTTGCACAGTCAACAATACAAGGACAAACATTCAGACATCTAGACACTGGGCTGTAAAACATCTTTGCGTCTTACCGTACTGGCCTTGGCCAGGAATGCAAGTTCATAATTAAGTTTCAGGGTTGCATGGAGAAAACACAGGAAAAATATTTTTAAAACTGTCTTAAAGAACTCTCACTATATTGAAAGCTTTTGATACTGTCTCAAATGTTTAGTATGACACTAACAAGACAATGGTTAAACTTTCTTCCAACTCATATTTAACCTCTGTATAGCAATCTACATTTTTATTTCCCAAGTTCAACACAAATTACAGGACAAGCACTCTCGATGTAATACCCAGTTGTGAATTTTACCGTTCAAAGGACATGGTCCTAGTTCCTTTTGCTTTTTTAAAGAGATGGGAATCTCAGTGTTGCCCAAGCTAGCCACGGACTCCTGGGCTCAAGTACTCTTCCCACCTGGTCCCTGTGTGTGGCTGGGCTGCAGGCAGGTGTACGCTGTCTCATCCGGCTCCCAGGTTCTTTCTAATCATAGTCCTTATCACCATCACCATCAGAGAACCTTCAGTAAAATCAAACTAGAAAAAAAGCCAACTAAATTTCCTGAACCTAAGACACATGCCTGACTTAGATACTAACCAAATGTTTCCCTTATTCCAATTGCTTACTTTTCAAATATCATCAGGTTATATCTTAAAAAAAAGATACATTGAAATAACCTTTTCTTTAAAAATCTAATCCCAACATGTGCACAAAGGTACTGCTCAGTCTAACTCCTCAGACCTAGCGGAAACTGATGGAAAATGATGTAGAACTACATGGAGGATGAAGGAACTTCCGATTTCACTTTATAGAGAATTTTCAAGGGTGATGTCTGGCTGGCTCTACCTCAGGCCTCAGAACTAAACCTCAGAGCCTTTGAAATGTTTTCGGCCTGGAAATCAGTTATAAAGCACTGCTTTTCATATATTTGCATTTCACAAACCACAATATAACAGACCCTAACACTTTTAGATTATTCCTCTGAGGAAGAAGTAACGCAAGAGCAATGGCAGAAGGCTAAATCCGAGGGGCCAGGACGGAGCGCTTGGCATGGGCGAGGCCCTGGGCTCAATGCCCAGCTGCAAAGAGACCCCACAGTGACAAAGCACTTTAGCAAATCAGAAACGAGGTCTCAATGGCTCCTAGGAGTTCACTGGGTCCTGCATGAAGGTGAGGCCTCCAGGCCTTGGGTGAAGGAAGCTCCCATATTTTTCAGGTTAATTTACTAGTCCCTATAGTCTTTGGACTGAATGCACAAACTTTTGCATTTAAAATATAAAGGCTGCTTTTTTAGAATATTTTCCAACTGAATTTAAATCTAACTGAATATACGCTGTTACTGACTGGCAGCAGAACCTATCCGAAAGCGAGAGTCCACACGCGGCCTAACTCACACGGGCAAGCCTGTCGGGCAGCCCTGGAGCGGTCCTGCGCTGAGCCGGCAGGCAGGTGTGCAGGCGGGAGGCTGCAGTGAAGCCGCAGCTAGAGGGCGATTCCGTTGCTTTGTAATGTGACAGGATTTGAAATTTCAGACTCTGTGATCTAAGGTGTCATTCTGCACGGCTAAGGACTGACTGATGAAATCGGGATTCCTGCCTAGGCAGCTCCCTGGCTCTGTGGCACGACATCTACCTCGACCAGTCGGATTTTACAGGCTTTCACGTGTCAGCTTGTCCTGGATAGCACTGCCGCTGCTTCTCTTTAATGCAGCATCGTGAGGCACAGAAGAGCAAAATTCACAGATTACAAGAAACACTCACACTGTCTCAGGATGAAATCTCTAAACTGCCAGGCTGAGTCATGCCCTAGAGAGGCTGCGCACCATGCCTACTGCCCGCTGTGAAGAAGCAGCTGCCGCACTTCCCCAGCTCCCCGGACAGGTGACAATCAAGGCAGCGAGAAAAAGAGCTCCGTAGTCTTTGAGCTGGCCATGGCTGGGTGTGGTGGCACACATCTGCAATCCCAGCACTCTGGGAGGCTGAGGCAGGAAGATCACCAAGTTAAAGCCCAGGCCAGGCAACCTACAACTCAGACAGACCCTGTCTCAAGCAAACAAACAGGCGGGGGATGAAGCTCAGTACAAAGGCCCTGGGTTCAATCCCCAGGCCTGTAAAGAAATAAAAATTTTAAAACTGGACTAAAAAATAAAACATCTTTGACATAAGGCCCGTAGTATGGGAGAGGAGCGAAGCGCAGGTGCTGAGGAGCAGATCCCACCCGTGTGCTGGCGAGTTCCAGCTCCGGCCAGGCACAGGGGCCTGAGATGCAGGCTGGGAGCATGCTTTGTACACCTTCTTCCAGCTCCATCGCCCGGGACACGGCTGCTCTGCTCCCTACCCTGCCCTGTGCCCACTGGAAACCACTCCTCACCGTTCTGCGCACCTGGCCCGGAGCCAGGCTGGGCGGGCTAAAGACCCAGATGTTGCCACAGGGACCATGCGCCACGTGTCCCCAAATTCAGAAGCTGCCCTATAGTTGCTTTAGCAGTAAGAAAATAAACACTAGCATAGCCGGATGTGGTGGCGCACACCTGTAGTCCTAGCACTTGGGAGGCTGAGGCAGGAGGATCCCTGAAAGTTCGAGGCCAGCCTGGGCTACATAGAGACACCCCGTCTCAATCAAACAAACAAAAACTAAAGTAGAAGGCCTACATCGTATCTGACGCAGCTCCACAGGCACCATTCACCAGGGGTCAAATCTGAAACCTGTTCAGGAGCAGATGCTTCTGGATGACAGTTCTTTCCCTTGATATTAAAACTGCTAATGCATCTAAGCCTGGGGATAGCACCTCTGCAGGGACACAGCCCGCAGGCTCCTTGAAGCCTGGAGCTGAAGGTGGCTCCCAGCACAGCTGTGGGGCAAGTCCTGAGGAGGGCGTGGGGATGTCTGGGGACCCGAAAGTCCATCTCCTGGACATGCAGCCCAGGCAGTCTGCGGTGTGCACCCCAGCAGCACAGAGACATACAGACTGAGTCTTATGCTTGTCAGGGCCACATCACCCTCTGAGCGTAGACCGTAAGGCATACGCTGCCTAGAAGGACACAAGTACACAGAAGTGGTGCGTACGGGTCCAAGGACTTCACAGACTCCCACACCCCCATGGACCTCAGGGCAGAACTTCCAGTCCAGTCACTCAGCAGAGAATATCCAAGGTTCAGCTGAAAAGCTTAATGCAGGAAAAAGAGAAAAATCAGTAAAAAGTAGTTCTCTGCTCTTGCCGTTAAGATAGGTATTCTATTGTGTTTTCTAAAATCACTTCCTTGTTAAGCCACGAGTGTTTAATACACACCTCGGAAGCCGGAAGGCAATGTCTGACAAAGCTCTAGGAGCCGACTCTGACTCTGATTATGAGGATAAAGAGGAAGAAGCACGCATGTGAAACACAAGAGCAAGTCTGGGCCACTGCGGGAAGACAGTCAGGGACTCAGGCCCAGAGCAGCGTGTCTTTAGGTGCTGTCTTCTCACGGGCTCTGCGCCCCTGCAGATAATCATCACCCATGGCACTGCTCCTCAGGGCTCACTGCCCCGCCTGCTGTAAGTGACAGAGGTGGCAGCTAGTTGGCTCATTCGGGGCCTGATCTGAACTCGGAGCTGGAGGGGAGGAGACACAGGCGGGGCTCCCGCCCACACAGACGTGGCCCTCACTAGCACTTCCTAACCCTGTGACCTCCTGGACCCCTGTGGGAGAATGCAGCTGCAGCTTGTGAGACTCCTGGGAAAGGTGTCCGTGAACTGTCTATACCCTGATGGCTTTTCTGTGTTACACTCGCCTGTTTTCTGCAGCCAACAGTTTATACAGCTCCAATATGGCAAATGGAAAGTTACTTCTAACTGTGGGATAATGGCCAGGAGGACTTTAAGCTGTGAAGAATCGCATTCCTCTTCAAAATTCTGAGGGTAATGAACGGTGCTATGTACTTGTCTAAGAAATGAAAAATGTAGACACACTTTAATGTGTTACGGCCTGTGTCCGTGTGGTCGCTGAACATCCTACAATGCATGGGACAGTTGCCCTGCTGTCCATGGCCGAGACCGGGCTCATGGCTCAACATGTCACAGAGCTGCGGCTGGGGAAGTGCACTAGGCCACCGATGGTGGGTTTCAGGCTTGTTCACAAGGCCATTTGTTTCCGGGATCTGCCTTCCAGGCAAAGTGAGAAACAGTCTGGACGGTGGCTAAAAGGTGACTGGCGGAGATCTCAGGGCCTGCCTGAAATGTGCTGAGCACTGAGAGGCCTGCTGCAGAGAAGCAACCCGGAGCAGGGCAACGGATGTGCGGGACAGCGGCCCAGCTGCAGGGCGCAGGGCGGGGGTGCCCTCTGCTAAGCAGCAGCCGAGATGGGACGCGCCCCTAGAGCCACAGTCACACTCAGGGCTGGCCAATCTCAAGCACGCCTTCAAATTCTGTGGAGAAAAGAAACACACGAACACTCCCCAGTGGGTGAGCAGCCCAGGGCAGCGAACGCACAATTGCGCAATGTGGAAGTATCTGGGCAGGGTGGAAGAGTTTAAAAATAACGGTAAGGAAACAAAGCACAATACAAAATTATGTACAGACATCGCCTGAACGGTCAAACACAAGCATGGGGCGGAAGGGCCGGGGATGTAGCTCAGCAGAGTGGCACCTGCCTGCCAAGCGCGAGGCCCTCGAGTTCGATTCCCGGTACCAAAACAAAAGGATGGGGCGGGAGCGTGAAGAGGGCTGCATGAGCGACGCGGAGAACCTTCCTCCTTTCAAGACTTCACCTCACGTCACGGCTCCAGCTGTTCTCATGTTTTAACTTTCACAAACATTCAAAGCATACAATCTGCAGTCGCCATGTCTTCTCCAAGACACATTCTGAAGGGCACAGGAAGCATGCAGCCCAGGGTGCGGGTGCGCTGCCGGAGGGACGGGTTCATGCAGAACATCAACCTCTGGCTGCTGCCCACGCTTACAATTACATTACCACAAGTACACTCACACACCCTGCAATGACTTCCTAAGGAGAAAAATTGATTTGGCTTTAAGGTTTGTTTGCTAAAATGTTTCTTTATAGCTGAAGTCATTCATCAAAGGACATTTAGAAAGCCCTCAGCCTAAAATTCACAGTGAGAATTTGCTCATCACAGAGTGAATTCTCAGATGTACCGAAAAGTGACAGGGCAGGGCACACACCTGTTATCCTGACTACTTGTGAGGCGGAGGCAGGAAGACTGAAAGCTAAAGGGCAGGCTGGACAACCTGGTGAGGGCTTGTCTCAAAATAAAATTTAAGAAGGGCTGGAAATACAGCTCTGCCTGGCACAGGAAAGGCCTGGGTTTGGTCCTTAGTGCCACAGGGTGGAAAGGGGCGTGTGTGCGCGCACGCCTGTGTGTGTGTGTGTGTGTGTGTGTGTGTGTGTGTGTGTGACTCACCGGGAGTTGTTATGATGAATGTTACATGCTCGGGCCATTAGCACCACAATAACTGGTCGAAAGGCTTTTCCCTTTCCATCGAAGTGGTACTCAGACATTTCCTTAAGTTCCGTTGTAGATATGAGCAGTTCCTGAAGCAAAGTACAATGAGACATCATTAAGTGCATAAAGTCAACAGGATCTGTTTCACCAAGCTTTGGTTTGATTTCAACGTGTCCATTTCAATTAAGCAATCAAATGCCAAGCTGGATCAGGCTCCAGTATCCAGCATCGTCTGGCCACAAACCTGGCTGCCCTGGAGGCTGCACGGACAGTGCCTGGCTCCCTCATCCCCAGTGTCCCTGGTGCTGGAGCACAGACAGCATCAGATGCTGGTGAGTCTGACACAGCAAGAGCTGGGAGGAAGCCCTGGGTGGCCCAGGGACTCTGCGCTAGGGACAGCAGACAAAGACAAGAACACAGGCGGGGGCAGCTCCGGAGATGGAAGCAGGAGGAGAAAGACAAGATGTGCGGAAGTCGGAAGCAGGCCGGGGTGTCCGGGGCAAGCAGGCAAAGCTCCACCTCTGGGGCAGGAAGACGGGTTGGACAGTGGAGCGGAAGCAGGGTCTACACTTGGCTGGGCCTTTCTTTGGCAATGAACACTTCAGAGGTGCAGAGGGAAGCATAAAGCTTGGGTTGTTTAACTGTAAGGAGTTCGCCCCCACTGAGTCCGGGAGACAAACATCGTACAGTTTCACTCAATGTATACCACAGTGTTGCCCTGTGTTACCCACACAGTCACAAGGATACACTGAAAGTTCAGAGAAGGAACAGACCAGAGCGGTTAGAAACCCGAATACTGCGTGGAGATGAGCTTTGAGCAGGGTTAGAAGGAGCAGTGGGGCTCTGCTTTGTGAAGAGAAGAGAGGTCCTTCCACGGGTGCCTGTTTGTCCTGCCTGCCACTCAAGGTCACGCTGACCCTGATTCCCAGCAACAGCGGGGGCGCCAAGAATGGACCCTCGGAGAGGTTCAGGGCGACAGGACATGCGGAACCCATCGAGAATGCACTGAACGGCTGACTCAGTGCCCAGCTCGGACATAAAGCTGAGCCAGGCAACCTCTGCTACAAGAGCCCAGGCTTGGGCGGCTGAGTGAGCCGGTGACTTCCCTTCACACAGCGCCCGATGCGGGTCCTCTCACCATGCGCGTGCGCGCAGGCGCGGGACCCTGCAGCACAGGCAATGGCCAACCCGGTGCCGTGGGACTGAAGGCGACAGAGCAGGGGACCCGGGGGGGCAGGACGGCCTGAGCACCCTTTCCGCACGGCACCTCTAACCATCAAGGGCACCGGGAAATCAATTCTGGGGGTGAAAAGGAGTTTCCAGGTCCGACAGGTCCAGCGCGGGACCCTGTAGGGAGTGGTGCACAAGCAGTTAGCTACACAGCGCAGAGGGACCATTCACCCCGCAGCAGAGATCTGCTATTTGGGAGCCTCGGATATGGAAACAGATGGACAGAGGATACAGAGGAGGGGCTGACAGACTCCCGGCGAGGCAAAGGTCAAGGGAGTGGGCGGGCTAAACTGAGGAAAAGTCTAGGCATCCAATAAGTAAGAAAGTCTGGAGGCCAAGGAGACAGGTCTGTTTCGTTTTTTGTGGGTAGGGGAGGAATGTCAACAGCGTTCATTGTTCAAAAAGGTCAAAGAAGATGAGACCAGGAAATGCCCATGGGGTTGAACAACTGGAAGTGAATAGTACACAGGGCAGAGGCAGTTTCAGAGGGGGCTGGAAAGGAAGCCACACACCAAGGCTAGAGATCCGGTCTGTGCTGGAAGGGACGGGGGGGGGGGGGCGCGCAGCTGGTTCGGACCTTAAAAATGAAGATGACCCGGCTGTGGTGGCACACACCTGTATCCCAGCTACTCCGAGAGCAGAGGCAGGCAGATCTCAAGCTCGAGGTCAGCCTGGGCAAGGTAGCAAGACCTGTCTCAGAAATAAAAAAGGGCTGGGGGTATATACAGCTCAGAGATAAGGAGCAGAGTTCAATCCCCAAAACCAGAAAAAGGAAGGAAGGAAGGGCGAGCTGCAGCCCCTCAAATGGGTAGCAGACACTGACAAGAGGGTCTGCAGATGAATGAGGAGCAGGTGACTCCTGCAGCAGGACTCCCTCAGGGAGGACGGGGACACAAGCATGCAGAGAGGGTGCGACAGAGCAGGGGCTGGGTAGCTCTTCCTCCGTGGCCTCTGCTTGGTCGTGAGACAGGAAGTGGTGGGCAGGGGACCACCTGGGTGGTGGAGCACTCGCCTAGTGAGTGTGCAGCTTCGTCTTCCATCCCGGGCACCGCAAAAGGAGTCTGGAAGCTTGTGAGCAGGGGCCTGGGGAGAAGGTGGAAACCTCACATGGGGGGGTAAGGAAGCACGAGAGTATTTCTGGCCAGATGGTGTTTCTATTTGTTAGTGATGTTTCCGTCGTGTGCCAGTAGCCTCAGGACAGAGGCTGGGCAGTGGTTCGGGCCAGTTTGCTCCGGCATGAGACACTCCGAGAGGCCTACGGGGACAGGCCTGCCCTAAATCCAAACTCATGCACTGCACAGCATTTTAGAGTACACACAAGATTGAGAACCCCAACAGTTTTTGGGAAAAGAGGCAAAGAAGACAGGCATTTTGGGGCACGCTAGCAGTGACATTGAGAATCAGCTGCAGGCGTCGCAGGGAGGTGCTGGATGTGAAGAGGAAAGGTTAGATACCTCTGGGTAAGTCCCTGGCACCTGCACCACTTTCTCAACTTCCCAATTCTGCGACAGCCTCGCTCTGGACTGTAACAGATGCTGCACCTACAGGTTGCCCAACACCAGCTTGCTCGCGCATGGCTGCTGCTTAAGTAACATTCAAAGCCTGAGGTATGCAAATCCACTTTACAAGGGGACTGTACCTATTTCAAAACCTGCACTACTGTTTTCCTATTTCTACAACTTTACTAAATTTCAGGAAACTAAGACATTACATCACAGCAGAATCAAACAAACTCACCTTTTTAATATCTTCATATAGACCTTTCAAGTCTCTCCAGCCGAGTTTAAAAGGATCGCTGTATTTCTCATCACTCTGTGTCTTACTACAACAGCACACCCCTGGTGTCGTGTGATGAAACCTGAGATAACAGAAAAACGCACATGAATGCATTTTTTTTTTTGGTTTGAACTCGGGTCCTTCCGCTTGTGAGGCAGGCGGTGGAACCGCTGAGCTAAATCCCCGGCCCCTACGAATGGACTTTTAAAGAAGTACTACACACACACACACACACACACACACACACACACACACACACACACACGGACATCATAGTTGGATGATGGAAAATTGAGCCCTAATATTTACTGGAAATTAAACATGAGTCAGAAAAGGTCATAATTTAGAAAAACACAAAGAATTCTGTTCCTGCTAAATAATACGTTAATACATCATTTTTATAAAGACCTTGAGCATCAACAATATCAAAGTAACACTGAACTATGTTCACTGTGATCTGGGTTGAACTCAAACTTATATTCCTATGTTTTGAAAAGCACTTATTTAAACATGTTTAATTTCACATTTCACAATTTTTTTTCACATTTCACAATTAAGAACAGAAATTTTCTGGCAACAAGATTAATCATTTTAGCAGTTTCAATACAGATTGTAAACTTACCGTGATATACTGTACACATTTCGAAAGGCAGATGTTATGCTCTTCACAAGATTAAAATAGGACATCTATAAAATGAAAACATCAACCATGTAGGAATATTCCTGAAAAACTTGTTCATAACTTCAGACAATAAAACCCCCATAGTATATAATAAACGTGATCTTTTTATCATCCATTTAGAGGTAGTAGGCTACAAACTTAAGAAAAACGCTAATTTTAAAGTTTCCTTTCCTTACTATAGAAGCAATACTTTTCATTACAGAAAACATATATAGAAAAAGGAGAAGATTTAAAAATCTGTAAACCATCCCTTCCAGTTTCCATACTCCTGTCTACCTTCCCCCTTAACTAAAATAGGTCGGAGAACAGCAGGGCTCGTGCATTCATATTCTTTCAAATTCTTAAGCATTTAAGATCCCAGCTGGGTGTGGAGGCCCAGACCTGTAACCTGCACGCTGAGAGGCCGAGGCAGAAGGCTGGCGAGTCCCAGCCCAACCTAGGCTATCTGGCCCCTTAGCAAGACCTTGCCTCACAGCAAAAAGTAAGGGGTGGGGAGGTGGGGAGGAGATGGGGCGGGGTGAAAGCATCACCGAGGACTGAGATTTCAGTACTAAGGAAGGAATTTACCTCTACACAAGTCACGCCCATTTAGTTTTTATTCTTAAGCATATTTGGAAACAGTGCTTCTGGGTAAGTACTGTTTCTAAGAAACAACCAGGACCTTGGCGGGACATTTTGGTAATATAACTTGATCAGAGATCAAAGATCTACATTGGACCGCTTCTTAAAAATTCAGTTGGTAACAAGATATTAATTCCAACTCTTTTGCACTGGAGACTGACCCCAGGGCCTCCACACTGAGCTGCACCCCAGCCACTTTCATCCTGAGGTAGGGTCTCCCCAATGCTCTGGACCTCAGCCTCCCAGAGTGCTGGGGTCACGGGCATGCACCACCCCACCCAGCTTTAATCCCAACAATTACTGGGGGGGCCACTACTGTGGGCAAGAAATTGTGGCAGGCCTTGGGGACCCTAAGATAGAGACTGAGTCCTGAAGAATTCAAGAAATAAAGACATTTAAAAATTACTAATTTACTGAGTGTAGTAAGGCCCTGTACAGATATTTGAAGAAGCATTTTGACAAAGGGGATGGATATAACAATACAAATACAGTCTACCTGCCCTATAAGCAAGTCTTACAACATGCTTTAAGATCCTTATTTCACTTGAGCCTCATGAATACTGTCTGTCCCATCCTGTCCTGTCACCCCCCAATGGCGACTGAACCCAGAGAGCAACACCCCAGCCCTTTATTTCCAGACAGGGTCTTGCTAAATTGTTCAGAGCACTGGGATTACACATGTGCACTGCACCACCACCCCTGGGGCCTTATTCTGCTTTATTTTGAGACAGGGTTGACCAAATTGCTCAGGCTGGCCTCACTTGGTTCCTCCTGCATCAGCCTCCCCAGTAGCTGGCATTACAGGATTTCCTTACCACACCTGGCACAACCAGGACTGTATTTTTTTGCTCTGTATTTCCAGATTTCTCTGTAACGAGATAGCCTGCTTTAAGCATACAAAGGTGTCAGTGAATGCTGACTGCCACGCTGTGCCCAGGGAAGACTGAGCCTGAGCCCTGTTCTCACCACGGCAAACCCTAGTCATCAGACCACTCAGAACGTTCAGGATATCCAAGCAGTCAGGGCCTCAGAGAACAAACCAAGGCTCCCCCCTTCTGATTTTTATCATCTTGGGACACCTACTTTATTTCCTTTTTGAAACAAGGCCTGGCTAAGTTGCCCAAGCTGGCCTGGAACTTGCAAACCTCTCACCTGGGCCTCCTGATTGAGGCCGATTTCAGGCCTGCGCCACTACACTGGGTAACAAGCTGCTTCTAGCCTTCGTGAGCAAGTAATTCCCATAAGTTTGGTATTTTATTATGATACTGACAAACTACATCGTAGTGGAAGAACAGCTCTTCAGCTTGGGACCCTGAGGACACTACTGGGGTGTAGTTAATACTGGGCATTCTTTACCTCAGGTGGTTTAAGAGCTGCTAACAGCAGTCTTTGAGGTCAGAGTTTGGTTCAAATCTCATTACTCCCATGTGTTTCACCTGACATCTTTCTAGTAATAACTATTCACCGAGTGGGGGGGCTGAGATTGCCTAGGGGTGCATTGTCCAGCGCTATCACACCCAGCACCTGAAGCACACGCCCCAGCACCCCAGTCCACACTTAAGATTGCATCTATTCAGCGGAGGTTCCTCCGTCAGAGAGGTCCTTAGGGCAAAGTTCCCCAAAGTGATGCTGGACACTCTTCCCAGGGCAGTAAAGTATCCAGGGGACAGGGAGAAACTGGAGCTGTAATGTTCTGCTAGCAGCAACAATCATTATCCAATTTAATTGTTTTCTCTTCCATCACTTACTGTCCCTGGAAAATTAGCCCTGCCTCATAAATTCACTTCTTAAAATAAGAGAAAATGCTCAACAAGAATCAAAGATCAGGGCCGGGGTAAATTTAGCTCAGTGGTTCTGATGCCTGCCTCGAAAGTGCAAGGTCCCGAGTTTGATCCCTGGTACCAGGGAAAAAAAAAAAATCAAAGATCTGACAACCAACTTAGTACAGTCAAATGCACCCTGACTTTTAACTTCTTACAAGAGCTGTTAACAGTATTCATGGGAAACAGGCATACAAATATCAGGAAGTCGTAGAGCTGCACTAGTCAGACAGACTTGGCTTACTGCTGCTCGGGGTCCCCAAGGACAATCAGACCCCAGAGACCTGAAGTAACCAAAACACAGGCGCCCGAGGCTGACACTCAAACGTTCATTCACAGTAAAGATTTCCCTGGCACACAGCTGGCACCGCGGTGCAGCCCCTCCCTGAGGCGAAGCAGGCAGACAGGGAAACCAACCAGGAAGCAGGGCCTCTCCAGGCTGAGGTTGCGCGGGAGGCTCAAAAGAAAAACTGAAAAAAAGGACTATCAAAGAAAAGAACTACCTGGTGGCTTCACATGGTGGCTGCATTAAATCTGAAGCCTGCCTAGGACAGTTGTGCCGGAGCCCAGGAAACCAGACCTTCTCCAAACCTCTCCCCGCACGCCCCCCTCGCTCCCTCCACTGTTCTTTCTTGGTCTCGGTCTCACAGTCCATTCTCTCTCCAAACTCTTGCATATAATTGCAATATGCACCCACTTTGGCACAAAGTAGACATTTATAAATGCTACATATTTCACACTGGCAAATACAATGACTAGTGCACGGCAGGATTAAGTGTATCAAATCTGACTGAAACGGAAGAGCCTGAAATTCGAATAAGTGGGGGGATTCACAGATGGAAAGTAAACGCTCGGTTACAGCGTGAGGAGGGTTGTCTCTAAAAACACAAGCGAACCCTAGACGTCGGGCAGTAAGGCTCACAGCGAGTCTACCCTGGTACATTGTGAATTGGTCGCTACAAAGTGAAGAGTCTCAGGACCATCGCACCAAGTCCATTCAGCAGCTCAGCTGATCGGAAAAGGAGATAAGAAATTAAGTTGGACCCACAGCGGCACGGGGACTTGGGGTCTCGGTCAGGGCTCAGATTCTGGGTTTCCTTGCACAAGTCACGGGCGAAACCCAGCTTCCCCCACGTGGCTTCCAGGGCCCTCCCGGCCCCGTCCACGCGCGCCGCTCGGGGCGCTCCCGTCCAGCCACCCGCTCGCGGGCGCCCTCTCCACGGGACCCGTGCCCGCTCCCGCGCGCCCTCTCCACGGGACCCGTGCCCGCTCCCGCCGAGACGCAGGGAGCCCGCGCCGAGGGGCTCGGCGCCTGCTGCTCCGGGAGGGGCTCCGCTGCGGCCGGCGCTCACCGAAAGGATGTGGCAGGGCCGGGGGCTCTGCTGTCACGGCACCGGGGACGCCCAGCCCCGGCGCGGGTCTGCAGGCCCCGCTCCGCCGCGGCCCGGCCATTCATTCCGCCGCCGCGCGCCCGGCCATTCATTCCGCCGCCGCGGTCATTGGCGCGGTGACCTCTGCACCGCCGCCCGCCCGCCGGCCTCACCTGCGCGCGAGCGTCGGCAGCGGCGCGCGGCCCGGGCGGCCCCGCACAGCCTGGGGAGCCGGGCCCGGGGCTCCGCGCCGCCGGCCTCCAGGAGCAGCCGCGCCACCACCGCCACCAGCGCGCGGCCATGCCGCGGGTCCGAAAGTCGCGGCAGCCAGCGGCTCCGCCTCTGGCCCGCAGGCACTTTTCCCGGAAGTCGAGGCCCGGAACCGGAAGCCGGGCGCCGGAAGCGCCTTCCCCGGCCTGCCCCGCCTGGTCCCGGCGCTCTGACCGCGGGCGTGACCTATGCAGCGGTGCCTTGGCGAGGCCTTGCGGTCACCGGAGTTCTGCCTGTGGATGGAGGTGGAGGAATGAAAGTAGGCCTCCGCCGCGGGTTTGCTGCCGAGCCCGGCTCTGCGGGCGGGACCTTCCTCGCTGGGGTCGCTGCCCTTCGCGATCCGCTCCAGAGGGAAGGCCCGGCCTGCTGCCCTCCCGTAACGAGCCGGGCCGCGAGCGGGGCTGCGGTGACTCAGGCCGAAGTGGCCCGGCCCTCGACTTCTGAACCCTCTCTTCTGAAAACCTCTTAGGTAGCGTTGGACACCCCTGCCCACCTCTGGGTGTGAGTTCGGCTCGGGGGTGCTGGTACAGAAATGTAGAAACACGTAGTGATGTTAAATCCACCTGTACCCGGCCCAGGAGCTCCTGAGAATGTGCAGGACTGGTACCGAGACGGGTTAGAAAGAGTTTTCCTTAGCTCTGGTGTCAGATCCGTTCTGGTGCTGAGATGGCGTATCGGTAACAAATCCTGATCGATTAAGCGTTCAATCTTCACAACAGCACGGCCAATGAAAGAATGTGTAAGCATCAGGAATACTGAGATAAAAGAAACTTTACTCTGTCCTCAAAAATTCACTCTTAGGAAGAAAATTGACTAACAAATAGGTAACTGCAATTCTCTGATAACATTTTTTTCTGAACCACACTTGTATGAGTGTAAATAGCCCTATACCCGAGCACATTATTTTCATATTTATCTTAAAAGTATAGATTTCTTACTGAATAAAAGGACCATAGAATAAGAAGCCTATTAATAGGTCTTTTTTCTAATACTGAAGATTAAAAACATGCGAAGTACTTTACAGTAAAAGTTGTTAATATACAAATGTGGTTTATCTTGATTTACATTAGGGTTATTAAGACACATACAGCAGGTAGAATTTGCCAAAATAGAGCGTAGCAGCACACATTTTCATTATGACAATCATGTCATTTGCCCCTTTTAGCAGAGAAGGAAGCAGGTAATAGAGGAATTAAACTACAGTTGGCAAAGGTAGCTCTTTGCACAATCCTGCCCAGTCATTTACCTTTAGTGATTGCTTGGCCAGATTAAAACAAAATGCCCCTGGCTCTTAAGGCGTTGTAGTACAGCAAGGCTAAGTAGGGAAAGCAGGTGAAATTCATGAAGTTCTTTCACGTTATTCTACATTTAGACCCTTGAGGAACAACCTCTTAATCAGGACATGCAGAATCCAAAGGTAGCCCTTTAGACCAAGTTAACCTTGAGTCTAGGAAGCCAAAAGCAGTGCGGGCAACTGCTAAGAACAAACTACTCTTGTACACCGTCCAGAAACAACTTTGATGTTTTTAATGCATTTATGTAAATGAGACAATCAGTACTGATGGTTGAAAATGGACTGAGTGTGTCATTGAAAGTATTTTCAAAGTTGTCATTTCAATGTTGGAAGGTGACATATGAAGGCATTTTCTTGCCATGTTGATAATACTGTTTGAAACCTTATCTTAGGTAAGTTTTACAGCCAAAGAGAAATTACAGTCAGGAGTGGTAGTACACACTTGTAATCCCAGTACTTAGGAGGCTGAGGCTGGAAGATTGCCATGAGATCAAGGCCAGCCTGGACTACATAGCAAGACTCTCTCAAAAAATTTTTTTTAAAAAAGGGGAAGAAGAGAGAAATTACAAATTTACTACTATATAATACTATATATATATTACCATGTCTGGCTCATGGTACTGCATGAAACATTTCTGAGTGTTATTAGATAAAAGATCAGTGAGTTATCAGTGTAACTCCTGATAACGCTTACTGAGAAAGGGTTCAGTTAACAGTGAAAGTTTAGCAGATGTGTTTTCCCAGTGCTGGGGATCAAACCCAGGGCCTCAGGCATACTTGGCAAGTGCTCTGTGACTAAGCCACACCCCCACCCCTTCTCTGGGATCTAGTCTGTGACCAGTTTAAGTGTCACGAGGGTGAGGGGTGAATATCTCCGAAGCACATAGTTCCATGGTCAGCGATCACATATTTTGAATGATCAGCTTATTGCCAAAAATGTGCATCAGTCAGAACATATCACAACTGCTAATCATTAAATACTGCCCATTTTCTACTAAAATGTTAAAACATAAAGGAAAGTGCATTGATTATATAATTTAGCCAATTCAAAACAAAGTCTCCCTTAGAAGAGAAGAAAATGCACTGTGAGATCTAGTAATTGTTTTTCTGTGGTGGATGCTAAAATCACGTATTGATTTTTTTTTTGGTATTAAATTCTTTTATTGGTACATTGTAGGTATACAACACCATTACATTTCTCATTGGGAATTGTACCTTTACATAATGCATCTTGGTTCTTATTTTTTCCCCATTCCTAGCCCTCCCTTCACGCCCTCCACCCTTCCCTGTTTACAAAGACTTTATTTCCATTTTTTCCATTTCTCAGCATTTTTTCCTTTCCCTTTCCTTTCCCCTGCCCCTCCCACTACCCCTACCCCTTTGGACCTTTTCTTCCTATTTTGCATTATCGATTATTCATTCTAATCATTGGTACATTTTAGGTATACAATATAATGACATTCATCATTGGAAATTTGCACCTTTACATAGTCACTCTTGGTTCTTATTTTTCACCCTTGCCCAGCCCTCCCTTCAACCCCTCCATTCCTCCCTATTTACAAAGATTTTGTTCCTATTTTTCCATTTTCTCATATTAATCCCATTCCCTTCTATCCTTTCCCCTAGCCCTCCCACTTCATTCCCCTTTCCCCCTTTTCTTCCTATTTCACATTACCTATTATACATTTAGTCCTCATTTACACTTTCAGTTTCTCACACCAGAGAAACTATTCGGTATTTACACATGTGTGTCCTATTTATTTCACTTAAGAGTATCTCCTCAATGTGCATCCACTTAGCTATAAATGTCTCTAATTTCTCATTTTTTATGGCTGAGTAGTACTCCATTTTATTAAAAAACCACATTTTCTTTATCCAGTCTCCAGTTTATGGGCATTTGGGCTGTTTCCAAGTTTTAGCTATTACAAACTGTGCTGCTATGAACATGGGTGCACATATATCACTGTGGTATGATTCTTTTCTTTGGGGAAGATCCCCAGCAGTGGAATAGAGGGGTCAACTGGGACTTCCAGTCCTAGTTCTTTGAGGTATCTCCATACTGATTTCCACAGTGGTTGCACCAGTCTACACTCCCACCATCAGTGGAGCAGGGTTCCTCTTTCCCCACAGCCCCGCCAGCATTTGTTATTGGTAATCGTGTATTGATTGTCTGCCATTTATTCCCCCATGATGGTGCCTTTTTTGCTGTGTGCTTAAAGGGAAAGTATAAAGATTAACTCTGACCTGTCAGGTAAAAGGGCCAAAGACCAAGACCAGACCAGGCCACAACAAGCCTTTATTAGGGGAACAGATCTGCTGGGCTGTCTCTGAACAAAGGAGAGACAAAAGCAACATGGCCGGGGCAGGGAGAGTCTTTTATAGAGACTGGGGTGGGGTTTGTAGGGGCTGAGGCGGGGTTGAGTGAGGTAGGGACTAGGGAATGGAGGAGCCGGTGATGTCACTAGGTGGCAGGAGGTGAGCGAGTATTAGGTTACTCTCTAGGCGGGAACAGGGGCATGCTGGGAAGAAGGGTTTGTTCTTTGGTGGGAGCAGCCATCTTGGCGTGACGTCACACAGGGGAGGGGGCAAGGCACCATAGAAGAGGGCAGCTACTATACATAACAGCTCCTGAGGTAGTGGGAGACCTGTCATGACCTACATTTTCTGGTTACTTTTATTGCTGTTGTGATCAGTAAATTTCAGTTATTACACAGTTGAGCTAATTGTCCTTACGCCACCTTTCTCCACTGATTTGAAGTACTCTTTTCACTATGAAGGAACGTAGAGTTGTTCCTGTGCTTTTTACTGAGTTCCATTGATCTTTTCTTTTATATTTGGGGTAACAATATGTTTAGTTTTTATATATTTACAATTTGTAGTACGATAGGCAAAGACTCTCTTTTCTCCTGTTTAAAAAAATATATGTATACATTTTTTCTAGATTTGCAATTCAGGTTTGTTTCTTCAAAAAAAACCAACCCACTAATGTTTTGATTAGATTTCTACTATGTTTATTAAATAATTTGATGACGTGTTTTGCCAATGTTATTTCTATCCAGAAACATAGATTTTTGTGTTCCTTAGTCATGTTCGTTTTGATTGATAAAGTGCTGAGGATGGAACCAGGACTTCGTACATGCTGGGCTAGCACTCTGACACTGAGTTATATGCCAAGCTCTTAGGATTTTATTAATATACCTACTCTCTTCTGTTTTTAATTGTTTTGGATTATGAAAACATTAAGAGTTTAAAAATTGGGAGTAAAATAAGAATAAGTATATTCTGAGTATCTGAAGCATATTCAAGGCTGTTTTCTTCCACAGCTTATTAAATACAGTACATGTACTTTAATGCATAAATTTTGGAAGCAGTTTGTCTCTTCAGAGGCAAATTTTCAACTTTTAGAATTTTGAGCAGGCATGAATCAAATGTTTTAAAGTTTCCAGTGGAATCCATAGCTGATTTATAAATCTGGTAACCATGTTTCTTTGAGCTTAGTATTGCTTATGTATATATCTGTTTCCTTCAGTTTTGTGTTTCTTAGGAGCATGGTGTATCTGATTAAGCGCCTAATATGTTTTGGTTCCCTTGACTATAATTCTAATATTGTAATGCAGCTCGCCTCCATTGACTTGTAAATATGTTGCATATCCTGTTTGTCTTCCGTAAGTGGAAATCTGTATAGATAGGGTATATGCCTCATTGTCTTAAATTTTTTCCATCCTCCATCCTCTTGGACAGATCCATACACAGGTTGAGTATCCCTTATGCGAAATGCTTTGGACCAGAAATATTTTGGATTTTGAATTTTTTCACATTTTAGAATATTTGCATATACATAATGAGATATTTGGGCCTAGGACTCAAATGTTAAGTGAGATTCATTCATGTTTCATAGACTCACACATAATGTTGCTTGAAGGCAATTTTAGACAGTATTTTAGGTGTACCTGCATTTTGACTGTGACTTGTTACATGAGGCCAGAGAGAATTTTCTACCTATGGCATCATGTAGGTGCTCAGAAAGTTTAGGATTTGGGATTGTTTTAGATTTTGAATTTTCAGATTAGGGATGCTCAGCCTGTCCATACTGTGTGAATATTGGATAGATAGCATTGGAAATGATAGTCTTCTCAATAACTAAGTTTTTTTTTTGAAGAATGAAAGTTTTTCTA